TTTACATTACAAAAACTGCACGTAATTTGTGAAAAGCATTAGAAAAGAAATATGGTAAAGAGGATGAAGGTTTCTACAACTATATTATAGGAAAATATATAGACTTCAAAATTATTGATAATAAATATACCTTTTTTAAGTTCTTATTCATGAAATGAACCAAAGGAGAATTGAAATGTGTGAAAAATTTCATGTGGGTGCTTTACTTGAAAAACTTTCTACAAAATGGAAATCTTTTGCTTTGTCGTTGAAACACAAATGTGAAACTTTGACTATGGACAGTCTAATCGTTTCTCTTCAAAATAAAGAAAAACATAATGATAAATTATCCAATGAGTTTGAGAACAAAGTAAATATTATGAAAGGGAAAAATTCAAACTCAAAATAAAAAAGTTTTCAAAAGATAATTTTTGTAAACAACCATCTATGGTTAACAAGTAAAAGAAAAGATGTTTGCTTTGTTTGCGGAAAATCGTGGCATTTGGCAAGCGTTTGTCAACTTCACAAAAGTCAAAAAACATTTGAGACATCGGCTTTACAGGTTAATGTTGTGACTAGTGAGGATGACAAAATGTTTGTTTCAAACATTCCTGTGGTCAATTTAGTGTGTGAATTTACCGATTGATAGATTGATACCGGTGTTAATATCCATGTGTGTGCTAACCAAACTATATTTTTACAATATCAAGTCATTAACGAAAAATTTGTAAACATAGGTAATTCTGCAATTGCACAAGTGAAAAGAGAAGGAAGAATAAATTTGTAACTAACTTCTAGGAAAATCTTGTCTATTCACAAAGTGCAACATGTGCCCAACATTAGAAGGAATTTGATTAGCAACTCTCTTCTTATTAGATATGGTTATAAATTATTGTTTGAATCCAATAAAGTTATAATTAGTAAAAATGAGTCTTTTTTTGGTCAAGGATATGTTTATGAAGATCTTTTCAAGTTAATTGTGTCTAATATTGTTTATCATGATAACGAAAGTAATAATAGTTTTTCTTTTTATAATGTTGTCATTTCTTCTAATATCTGGTATAGTTGTTTAGGACAGATTAATAATGCATCCATTAAGAGAATGATGAATTTGGATTTTATTCCTAAATTTGACATAAACATGTATGAAAAATGTGAAATTTGTGTGCAGTTGAAATTACATAAAAAAATTTTTAAATCTGTAACTAGAAAAATTGCAATCTTAGAGTTAATATATAGTGATGTTTATGACATTCAACTTTACTCTAGGAATAGTAAGAGATATTTTATTACTTCATAGATGATTTTTCTAAATATTGTTATGTCTTTCCAATATAAACAAAATATGGGACATTGGTTATGTTTACTACATATAAAAATGAACTTGAAAATGAAAAAAAAAATCAAAATTCTTCGATCAGATAGAGAAGGAGAATATGATTCTATAACGTTTTCAAACTTTTGTAATGAGAATGGCATTATCTATCAAGTATCTTCCCCTTACACACCCCAATCAAACAGTGTGCCAGAAAGGAAAAATCAAACAGTGTGCCAGAAAGGAAAAATCAAACTTTATTGGATATGGTAAACTATATGCTCTCGAGTTTCGGACTCTTAACAAACTTAGGGAATGAAGTACCTTTATCTGCATGTCTCATTCTGAATAAAGTTTCTTAAAAGAAATTAAATAAAGTTCTATATGAATTATAGAAAGGGAGGTAACCCAATTTAAATTATTTAAGAATGTGGGGGTGCTTGCCAAAAGTAAAAATTTCAAAATTTAAAAGGAACAAATTAAGACCTAAAACTATTGATGGAGTTCTCATGGGTTATTATCAAGATAATGTCACCTACAGGATTGTAGTAATAAAATCTGAAACTACTGATATAAGTTTCAACATTGTCATAAAATTGAGAGATGTTGCAGTTTTTGAGGAGATTTTACCCTTGAAAAATAAGGTAAATAAATCAATATCTTCTGAATGCACTCCAATTTTAGTTGAGTAAGAGGAAGAAGATATGATCAATATGAAAGTTCCTAAAAAAAGCAAAAGAGCAAGAGTAGAGAAAAATTTTGGAAACGATTTTTACACCTATCTAATGGAAGATAATCCTCAAATGTCCAAAGAGGTTGCATCATTTGTAGACTTTATTTTTTGAAAAGATGCCATAAATGCTGAACGGAGTTTCTAATAAATAATAAAACTTGAGTTTTGACCGAATTGCCTAAAGGGTGTAAACCTATTGATTGTAAGTGGATATTTAAAAAGAAAGTTTACCTAGATAGATCTATAGAAAAATTCAAAACAAGATTAGTTGCAAAAGGTTATTCCCAAAAAAAAAAAGTTTGATTATTTGACACTTATTCTCTAATAGCAAAAATGATGACAATTTGATATTTAGAGCTTTGGCATCCATATATAAGTTAGAGATCCATCAAATGGACGTTAAAATTACCTTTTTAAATAACTAATTAGAAAAATAAATATATCTAAAACAACCTGAGGGATTTGTCATATCAAGTCAGAAGCATAAAGTTTGTAAACTAATGAAATCCTTATATGGATTAAAACAAGCCTCAAAGCAATGACATGAGAAATTTGATCAAGTAATCTTGTCAAATGGATTTGATAAATGACTTTAATAAATGAGTTTATATTAAAGTTACTAACCTTGAATGTGTCATATTGTGTTTGTATGTGGAAGATATTTTCATCTTCAATAACAATATGAATATTATTAAAGAGATTAAACATTTCTTGTCGAATAACTTTTACATGAAAGATTTAGGAGAGGCAAATGCCATTTTGGGAGTTAGAATTCTATGAAGTTCAACGGGTATTACAATTACGCAATCACATTATATTGAAAAAATATTAAAGAAATTCAATAAATATGATTGTAAACCCATGAGCACACTTTAGGATCCAAATGTGAGATTAAGGAAAAAAGTTAGAGAGCTTGTTTCTCAGTTGTTGTACTCTTATATTATTAGTACACTCATGTATCTCTCAAATGCTACGAGACTGGATATAGCACAAGCAGTGGGAAGGTTAAGTAAATATACCAAGCAATCCTGATATAAATCATTAGACAACATTGGAAAGGATATTAAGATTTCCAAAAGGTACCATATCATTGGATATACACTATTCAAGTTATCTCACTGCGCTTGAAGGCTATAGCAATGCAAACTAGATCTTTGATTCAGATGAAACTAAAGCTACCATAAGATATGTTTTCATATTAGGTGAAATTGCTGTTGCATGAAAATCTTCCAAGCAAACATGTATTTCTCTGTCTTTCATGAAATCCAAGATGATAGCCTTAGATGTGATGGCATAACAAGTAGAATGACTTAAACATTTATTAATGGATATTTCAATTATGGAAAAATCAATTCTTGCAATTTGCCTTCTTTATGATAATCAAGCAACTATTGTGAAATGTAAACAAAAAAACTCAAAGGAGTAAAGGAGACATGTTTAAGGCAGACAACAATTATGAGTTTAATTAAAAATGGAGTAATCACTTTAAATTACATTCCTTCTTCGAAGAATATTACGGATCCGTTATCGAAAGGACTAGTTAGAAAACAAGTCATTAAATGTTCAAGAGAGATAGGATTGGAGCCAATTAATTAGAAATTCATTACAATGGTAACCCAACCTTTCTAATTGGAGATCCTAAAATGAAGGTTCAATGCGGTAGGATCAAGTTGTTTAGTGATTGAAGAAGTACCATTTAAAAAAATATATATAGTCCCACCGTGATTTTATTGTACTTAATATAGTGGTTAGGAGAAGCATATGCTCTAAATGAGTTTGTAGCAAATTATGTACATAAAATATGCTTCCGTTACACATGTCCTTGAAGAACTCACATATTTGAGTGTGGTTATGAGGCTGTAACCTATGAGATTGGACTTTTTCCTAGAGCACTCAAGAAGCAAGATATGAGTGCGAAGTCGTTAAAAGTGCGACCTAGTTTAGAACTCAATAAAACCTCGTACAATGTGTATGATAAATTGAAGCTCAAGCTAGAAGATCTTAGTTCAAGATACAAGTTTGCTACGATTCTTTCGAATGGATTTTCACATACTAAATGAGGTTCAAGTCCACAAGACACCTTCATCGAATGCATTGTAAAAAACTGCTTTGTATTTCTTAAATTTTGAATCATGTGGGGGATTGTTAACCTTTTATTTTATTTTTGGTGAGTTAAAATTTAATGTGTTTGTTGAAAAGGTATGATTTTTTTATTGTAGAAAGACATCTACCTATAGAAGGATACATTTGTTAACTTTTAAATAAGTGTATCTAAATGAAGAGACACATTGATAATGGTTCACTATCTATAAATAGCTAACCCCTCTTTTTGAAAAATTCATTCAAAGCATTCTATATTTTTGAAAACTTTATTTTTCTTCATTTTAAAATTCCTTCAAGAGCAGTCGAGAGATTTACAAGTTTCTTTGATTTTTTTTATTTGAGTGTACATTAGAATATTCTTGAACAGTTCATTGTATCTTAGGCGTAGGACATCATTGATTGCTATTTGCACCGAGGTAACAACGAAAATCTACTATGAAGTCAACGCCTTCTATAGTGTACCTTGAACAGATTTTTGCATTCAAAATTCTTTTTAATTTCTTTTATTGTTAAATGTTAAGTATTTATTATTATTATTTTTTCATGTGTTCTGCTTAATTGATTAAATTTGACACTTCCATATTGGTCATGCTCATGAAGCACAACTGCACAAATGATTTAGGAGTACAAAACAATTCTTAAGAATGCATTTAAAATATTGGTTGGGCTAAGAAGGACAAGCCCTGAACTTCCGAACAAAAGGTCGGCAAAGCCCAACTGAGAGACATCACCAGCCCAAGATAAATGGGCCTACACTTAGTATTAAAGCCAACTAGCGCATCACTGCTGCACTAACTAGGGTAACCTAGTAAATTTCCGTACAAGAGATTCTGTTAGGGCTTCCCGGGCTTCGTCATTAATTCCAAGATTCGCTTTTTCGTAACCAGAAAGCGTCTCAAACTTAGTTTTGGACCTAGTATTTGGGAACTGTAAACGTGGAAGTGTTCTGAGCAAGAAAAGAGAGACGGAAAACAGAGTCTGAATAGAAGTTTCATGGCAGCCTAATATTCTTTCAAAGCCCCAGTAAACGTACTATAAACGCACTTTCCTCAATGTCAGGGCATTGTTGCTTATAAAAAAAGCTGAGAGAAATGTGGGTTTTTCTGTTCTCCTGAATAAAAACAGAGCAGTTTGGAAGTGAGGGGTAGTTGTAAAAGAGGAAACGATGAAAGAAAGAAGGCTCTGTGAAGAGTTTTCACCTGGGTATTATGGGATTTGTACTGTTGGAGGAATGCTTAGTGCTGGGACTACTCATCTTGCTGTTACACCTCTTGATGTCTTGAAAGTAAATATGCAGGTGGGGGATCACTTTGATTCTTTTTTTTTCCCCTTTCTTTGGAACTTTTAAACTCGATGATATAGGATGCTATGAAAATAGACTTATATTCTGCTTGATTTTCTGAGGATGTCTTTGAGGCTTCGAGTAATGGTGGCTGACTTGGTCTTTACTTATGCTTGTATTTGTATGTGTGTCAACCTCTGTTCATATTTTTGTTGTACACGTGCGGCTGCTACTCTCTCTTGTTGTATTATTAATTGGTTACTCACAATACTCAGAAAATAAGGCTAAAGTGCTAAGTTTTCCCTTTTGGCTAGACATTTTTTGCATATTGTGTGGGTTAGCACCTCGTGAGAAGAGAATCAGACTGCCATATTGTTTTCTTTAAATGTTACTTGGAAAAATATTACGGCTCTAGGTGCAATTAGGAAGATGGAAATTCTTCCCGAATTTGAGAGAGCAAGAGTAGGATGTGCGGAATAGCAGTTTTTAGGAAGGGGATGTCATGGAATGTCCATCAAGGAAAGAGTTCTGCAGCTAGTTTGCTTGATATGGTAGAATCAGTTCATACAGTGGCAGAGAAATAAAACTCTTATATGTTCTTTAATCCCATCTTTGGATGTTTAACCTTTATGGTAGATTGGTGGGCATCAAAAATAAAAAGGCCACGTGTGTTTTAGCTGTTCCATATTTCGTTGCACTTCCTGATCTCCTGAGCTCTCCCCAATTCTTTTAAGGCTGGTCAATGCTCATCTAACTATTTGACTTGTTTTCTTTAGGTGAATCCGATCAAGTATAGCAGCATTTCATCAGGATTCTCGGCACTTTGGAAAGAGCAGGGGCCATCTTCTCTTTGGAGAGGTTGGTCTGGCAAGTTCTTTGGATATGGTGTTCAAGGCGGGTGCAAATTTGGACTTTATGAATACTTTAAGGGGCTTTACTCAAATGTTTTGGTAGATCAAAACAGGACTTTCATATTCTTTCTCAGCAGTGCATCAGCACAAGTATTTGCTGATGTGGCTCTCTGCCCTTTCGAAGCCATAAAAGTTCGTGTTCAGACGCAGCCCAATTTTGCCAAGGGTTTGGTTGACGGATTTCCAAAACTTTATAAAACTGAAGGGCTTGCTGGGTAAGTTATACCAATGTCAGGAATCTTTTCTGCTTTTGTTTCATCAATAATGTTTATACATTCCCTTTCAATTTGATTGCAGCTTCTACAAGGGACTTTGTCCACTTTGGGGCCGCAATCTTCCATGTAATGTTAATATTCCACTGCGCTTTAAAAATTTTCATTTGGTTGTTCCTAGTAATGAATCTAAGATGTGTTTTCTGGTGGTTATTGCACCGGCAAGCCTTCTAGTCTATGTTGATATTCCCTTTAGTAGTTTGTAGGCTTATGCCATCAAATTCTGAGTTGCAAATGTTATGCTAATCATTTTTGGTTCTGTATTCTCTCATTATTAGATTATTAATACCTTACTAATGCACGCCTTGCCGATGCTATCAATCCATTTGAAGTTGAGACCATGATGCAGTTTGGCTAAATGTTATAAAGATAACAATAGTGACATTGCATGTTGCTAGTCACCTGTTTTTTGACCATACTCTTAATTCACCAGTGTCTCTTTTACTGATCATGCAGTTAGATTTTTTGTGATGTTTGTCTTCCATTGGGTGCATTATTATGTTAATGACTTCTGAAAAACTATTAGGGTAAAAATTTTACATTTTTCTTCAAACGGAAAGTTGGTCACATTCTCAAATTGAGGCAGTGAACGAAAGGCTTGTTGAATGACTAATTTATTGTTAGTTTCTCTTCCATAATTCTTGTGCTTGTTTTCTACCTGGTTGGATCTTAAAATCTGGTTTTAAACATAGGACTTGTAACAAACTTGCTTCAACATTGGAGTATAAGCACATGGACTTTGACACTTTACCTTCCAGAATGAAATTTAAAGCCAAGCTAGGATGCTGCATGCTCGTTATTTGTTATCAAGCAAGTAGCTACAAGCACATCTGAGACTTTATTCTTGACCAGATTACCTGCTTACATATATATGTCTGTTTTGATAAGCAATGGAATTATCAAGTCATAGTGCATTGTATTTCTAACCATGTGTCTTGATATGATATTTCCATTGGCAGTCTCTATGATAATGTTCTCAACGTTTGAGCATTCAGTGGACTTTGTATATAGAAGTATCATTCAAAAGAGAAAAGAAGATTGTTCCAGAGCTCAACAACTTGGTGTCACATGCCTAGCAGGGTATGCAGCGGGAGCAGTTGGTACCGTAGTCTCTAACCCAGCTGATGTCATAGTTTCTTCTCTTTACAACAAAAAGGCTGAAAATGTTTTGCAGGTATCACCTATGAGTAATTTTTTGTTTTGGCTTATTTTAAGTACAACAAATTAAAATGATTAATTGTGTTATTCGATGTCATAACTTTCAGGCTGTTAAAAAAATTGGGCTTTTTAATCTTTTTACAAGAAGTCTTCCTGTTCGCATCACACTTGTGGGACCTGTTGTTACTCTGCAATGGTTCTTTTATGACACCATCAAAGTGCTGTGTGGACTGTAAGTGTTTTTGAAAGCTCCAATTTAGAAGTCATTGGAAGAAATAATAGTGTTAGGCTGCATGCAAATTTAGACGTAATAATTTTGGTTTTCTGCGTCACAAATTTATAAATTCTTATGACAGGATTGAAGGGACTTGTTTGTTTGTCTTTTCTTTTAAATAGTTTGCAAAAAAAATGTACTGTGGTTTTGGATCTCACCTTAGCACTGTGCAGTGGTGGAGTCAATGTTTACTGCAGTGATCACTTTGTATTTATAATTATAGCCATCCTTCTAACAATGTGAATGTCTTAGGCCTACTAGTGGAGGACTTAACAGACAACTACGAGAAGCCAATGTATCATCTTAAGCTCGTCGGAGGAGAATCTGCAGTTCCATTAGGCCAAGTTCTGCAAACATAAAAAGTTAATGATCCCTGCGATGTGGGCATATTATGCGTGCTGATTTTAGAGATGTCAGAAGTTTATTTACACCCATCTTAATGTGTACCAGCTATTGTAAAAGGTTCAACATGTCATAAAATCATTCTTTCCATTCTCTTTCCCCTCCCTTTTTTAGTTGGAGGGGTGTCATACTTTGTTTTGTCAGGAGAGAATGCTTGTCACACTTCCATACCACATACACACGCAGTCATGGCTGCGATTAAGGGTTCTAGTGACTCTCACTAGTTGTATGACAGCATATTTAATACTAGTTAACATTGTATGATCCTAGTTGCCAGCTTATATTAGCACCTTGGTTTGCTATCATCTCTCTTCTTGTTTTTTGTTCTTTACCAATTGTTTCATAGATGAATTGACTCTGCTAATTGCAATGCTCACATCTGTATAGTGGGCTTGACTCGAGAGGCTGCTTAGAACATAACCAGCCTACGAAATGGAAGGCAAACGCAGCTTGGATGTCAGCGTATCTAATACTCTTGTGTGTGTGTGTGTGTGTGTATATATTCTTCAAAATGGTGAATCTAATCAGACCATAATTTCACTTGGCCAATGCTATCATTACCTTACTTTAATAACCTTACTTAAACCTAGGAAAATACAGGGGAAGGTGGAACTCATTGCCCTTGAATAACGAAGTCGGCAGCCCACTTGCCGAGGGGAGATGACAATTAAAAGACAACCCAAAAGGCACAAAGTCGATGCTTTATGTCAAAGGGCAAAAAAAGGGTACTTTGTTTTGTCAAATGAAAAAGGGCAACCAAAAGAGATTTTGAGTATTGAATGAGATGGTAGACTTCGTAGGAACCAAGGTTGCCGTAGGGTTACAGAAACAGCTGCAGTGGCACATGTTATCAGGTTTGGAAATTTCTGCTTTCCACGTCCAAGTTGAGTCGTGATCTGACTAGCAATGGCAACGTAGCCATGCCATGCCATATGCAAAACCAAACCATTCGTGCAAAATCCAGATGCAGTTGATCTGTTATTATCCAAGCAGTTGCTAACTGGCAACCACAATCTTTTAGGTTTCTCACAAGCCATAACAGATGGCCCATTTATTGGACCGCCACGTGTTACAGCAGAGGGCTGCAGCTGCTGCTCCTGCAACGTAAATACATTTATGGATGTTCATTCAACCAATGAATACGATAACTTTTTTCTTGTTAAAAGAATACAGTCTTAATAACTTAACGCGGAAGTTGTGGGCACATATCTGCCGTTGTATACTTTTTTTCCCCAGATGGTTCTTTTCCTTTGCCTTTGCCTAGGGATGACGTGGTCAACTTGCTTGCCTTCCTATGTATTCAATCAAAATTTTCCCTTCTAGATTTCCTATTGTTAAACCTAAGGAGGAAAAACCATATCCAAGGAAAATCTAGAAGAGAGTTGCATTTCATGATTCAACTCATCATGGTATTAAGTACCAAAAAAAAAAAAGTCATCATGGTACTTCTTTTCCGCTAACATCAAAACATTTTTAAGGGCAAGCAGAGTTTCCAAAGGACAAGCTGGACCTCCCCCATGGCCCCATCCCATCATGCTACTTCACTTTTTCCTTTCAATAAAAATGGTAAAGAAATAATCAAATTATTGCACACACATATATATATTTTTATAGAAATTATGGTGATTCGTTCTGCATAACTCTGTTCCATCTTGCCAACCAAAATAAGTTCTAAGTGAAAACCATTAGCTTAGCGAAACCCAATACTATAAAAGGAATTCTACTACTAGTATTTTTTCTTTCTTTTGTCCTTTTTGATGAAAGAGACAAGTGAAGACTTAGTCAATAAGAAACTTAAATAAGATTTACAAAATTGCAAAGGCTTTGTGTGTGTGAGTGTGTGCGCAGTCTATGTTAAGTTGGTTGGAGGTACTTGACTTGGTCTCATGAAATATCATTCAATTTTGTTGAAATAAAAAATTGTCAACATCATGTCACGAGCATGATTATAAGTGTTATTGGTTAAGGATTATAGAGCCTATGCACTAGGAACAAAAACCCAAATTAATGGTGGTGAAAATGCTTGGACCATTATCTTTTGTACAATCTTTGGGGTTGTATATTTGTGATCCTTTCACTGACTGTAATAGTGGACTGGGAACACATCATTGTTGGTTGCATTACAGGCACCAAATTCCCTTGTTCAGAAAATTACCAAATATTCAATGGATCACATCATGTGCATCTCATCATTCCACTCCACTGTTAGATTCTGTCAAGTGCATGTTCTGAATCAGATCTTGGCTATTGATCCCATTTATCCGTTGCTACCAAGCCAAATGGTCCTAAAAGCAAGGGCTAGGATCTTCGTGGCTGCTAAAGAAATTTAAAATAATATCATAAAAAGAAGTGTGTGTTCTCTGTTCAACCATAGACTTTGTGGGTATTCTTAAGGAAACTGGATTGTGATGTTGAGAACAGAAAATTGCAATTTGGTCTCCGGTCTTCTTTGTGTGTTTCTGGATTGGGATACAGCAAGTCAATGGATAGAATAAGGAGGGCAAATTAGTCAAACCAAAGTTGGCAGCCATTACATGTTTGAGTGAATTGCAATGGGAAACTTCATCGTTCAAAGCCGGGGGAAGGCCAGCCATAACCAAAGAAGATGAAAGACCATTCAAAACAGAGCTGCTTTGCAAGGTTTTAAAAGACTGCCTAAGTTTAGCCTTTGGATTCTTCTCCACAAAATTAGCTCGAACATTTTGACCAAAACAACCTTAAGACATGTCGTAGACCCACTGACCTTTCAATCGGCGTGCACATCACGCACCAAACAACTAGCTACAAACTCCAACGTTGTCGTGATTCTCCAACCTTGAGAAACGTCAACCGTGAATCGGTGATTCACTGATATGGGTGTGTTTCCGCTTTTACCCTTCTCTGCACTTCCTAGAAACCGTGCAAAAGAAAGAATAGTTACACTAAATTTCAATTAAAGACAAAATTTAATTAAACACCAAGGAAAACAAATTTGGGTTGCTCGCTTTTATTATTATGGAATAATAAAAAATCAAGCCATGCATGTATGTTTAAAAGAAAAAGAAAAAGAAGAAAAAAGGAAAGAGGAAAAGGAAAGAAAGAGCAGGGGAGTGGGAGGAGAGTTAGCTGGTCAGCACTCTTCGTAACCGATCTTTCTTAGCAACAGCACTCCAAAAATAACAACAAAAACAGACTCAAAATTCAAACATTAAAAAACCCACCAACAGCTGTTCTTATGGATGTGTTTAGGATCAATTATATTCATCCCCTTTAGCCATTACCTTCTCTGTCTCTCCTTCTATCAATCCCATACCCTTTTTCCCTTTCTTCATTTTTACTCCAAACTGGTACTTGTTCTATCTCTCCGTTTCCTCTGCTTCTTATCTTGGTTTCTCTCCTTTTTCTTGTTATCTTGATTGTTATGTATGTTTAGTTGCTTACATCTTTGTGAGTTGATCTCAATTTTTGTTGGGTGTGTGTGAAGGTTTATTCTTTTTGATTGATTTTTGGGCTTGGCCTAATTTCTTTGATAGCTGTGATTTGTCTTGGAGAGGATGTTAATCTTGTGTCACGGTACATGCTATATCCATGTAGAAAGATGGTGACTTTCTTTATTTTTCATTTTTGTTTTCTTGGAAATTAGTGAAAAGGAGTTACTTTTCTTTTTGCTTTTTTTTTTCTCTTTAGAAAATGGAATGGAGCTTCTTTTTTATGTCTGATACTCTGATCTGATATGGGATTCTTTTGATGCTGAGATTTGTGTTTTCTGCATGAAAATTTTGTGACGTTTAAAGTTTCCAATTCTGGGATCATTGAAAGTTGAAATTTTTTCTATATATTTTTTCCAGTGTAATTGATGAGATATCATTGGATGAGGAAAACACTGTTCTGGGGGAAATATTGATTGTTTCATGGGCAACACATGCCGTGGATCTTTCAAGGGGAAACTTTATCAGGGCTACAGCCAGCCCGAGGATCATTCTTCCAAGCGCAACAATACTTCTTCTGACCGTTCCAATTCTGATTACTCCCCTACTAGTTTAAACGCTCAACAACTTATTGCCCAAGAATTCTCCAAAGAAACCACCAAAAAAGATACCCATTTGGCGCTCATTAGCCCCAACAAGAAAGATAACATCATGAGACGTGGAATTGATAACCAGGCTTATTATGTTTTGGGTCATAAGACTCCTAACATCCGTGACCTTTACACTTTAGGCCGTAAGTTAGGACAAGGACAGTTTGGGACTACTTACTTATGCACTGAGATTTCTACAGGCATTGAGTATGCCTGTAAGTCTATATCCAAAAGGAAGTTGATTTCCAAGGAGGATGTGGAGGATGTTAGGAGGGAGATTCAGATAATGCACCATTTGGCTGGTCACAAGAATATTGTGACAATTAAAGGTGCATACGAGGATTCCTTATATGTGCATATTGTGATGGAGCTTTGCTCTGGAGGTGAATTGTTTGACCGTATCATCCAGAGGGGGCATTACAGTGAGAGGAAGGCGGCTGAATTGACTAAGATTATTGTTGGGGTTGTTGAGGCTTGCCATTCACTCGGGGTTATGCATAGAGATTTAAAGCCTGAGAATTTCTTGTTAGTTAACAAGGATGATGATTTTTCTCTCAAGGCCATTGATTTTGGACTCTCTGTCTTCTTTAAACCAGGTAAGGAATGAAATGCTCTTCCTTAATTTTTGCAATTTTGTTTTTTTAATTTTTATTAATTTGGAAGCAACCTAAGGAGCTGGAACATGCACCTAGTAATTGATCGAGAATTGTTTTTATTGCACATATGATCGACTACTTATTCTTCTTTTAGTAGGCCAATCACTTGGTCTTGTTAAAACCCAATTCTTAACCTTAACATTTAAATGTAATGCATACAATCTTAATGGGTTTATGTTGCGAATGCCTATTAAATGGTGACAGGGAAGAGCACGTATGCAATAATTGAAGAGCCACATTTTTTTTCTTTATTGAGTCACAAAGTAGTTTTAGCTCCTTTAGTTACCATTATAGAACCAATGTCTTCTTGAATCAACTTGATTTACATAATGTGTGGTTCACTACTTCAGGCCAAGTTTTTACCGATGTGGTTGGAAGTCCATATTATGTTGCTCCTGAAGTACTCCTCAAACATTATGGACCAGAAGCAGATGTATGGACTGCAGGCGTTATACTCTATATATTGCTAAGTGGTGTGCCACCATTTTGGGCAGGTATTTATGATGTTTTATGGTTCTGTATCATATTGAGTTTTCAAGTAATTATATGTGTAAAATACTTACAACTTTTCTTCGTCTGTTCTTCAGAAACACAACAAGGAATATTTGATGCAGTGTTAAAAGGACATATTGACTTTGATTCAGACCCATGGCCCCTAATATCTGATAGTGCAAAGGACCTAATCCGCAAGATGTTATGCTCTCGGCCTTCAGAGCGGCTGACTGCTCATGAAGTATTATGTATGTAATATTTATCACCTCTCTATTATAATCTACTTGATGCTAATGAATGTTTTGACCAATTAAATGTTGAAATGCAGGAAGCTGCTCTCTAACATTTGATACTTGTTTTTTATGTTATTATTACTGAATAGATGAATTGGTGTAGTAGTAATAACATTTTTATAAACTATGATAGTAGTAGTATGATCGTTTAGAGATGTATCAAGTTGCAATGTGGGATGCTCAATATGTTTTTCTAGTTGATCTAAATATTTAAGCATGTTTACAAATTCATTGATATTATTGTTGTTGGAAAATGTATCCTAAAACAAACACTGCACATTGATACAAAGCAATAAGTACTTGTCTTAATTTATTAAACTTTGGCACCCTCTGCCTTTTGGCGCATAGAAATTTTAATAATTAAATACAGTTCTTTCTGAAAAGTCTCGCTAATTTTAGCAAATTTAGAATCAGAAAGATTCTTCTTTAGTTATGAGTGAGAATCCATCCTATTGGTCAGTATAGTTTGTTACATCCTTAGTGCATTTATTATTTTCCTTAGTGAAATAAAGATCAAATTGTGATATCTTTTGCTTTTTGATTTCTTTAGGTCATCCTTGGATTTGTGAAAATGGGGTTGCCCCAGATAGGGCGCTGGATCCAGCTGTACTTTCTCGTCTCAAACAGTTCTCTGCAATGAATAAATTAAAGAAGATGGCTTTACGGGTAAGATTCTCAAGATGTGTGTGTCTGAGTCTGCATCTCTGTACCTCTGTCTGGCATTGTGTGAGAGGAAATAGGGAGAAATTGAGGTCTTGATGTGTATATAAAACTAGGATCATGTTTAATAAATCTGGCAGTGTTTTCTTCCAATCATGAAGAGGTAATACCCAATTGATGCAGCAGAAGCAAGCTGTTTTTCTCATTAAACGTATAATGCATCTTCTTTTTCTAAAATATTTCTATGCCTCAGTCTGGCAGCATTTTTCACTGTTTAGAGTTTAGTCTTAAGCACAATGGAACTTAATGATGGCTTTAAACATTCTCCTTTTTATTGTTAATGTAGTCAAACTCATTCTGACGGAAAGAGCTCTGCCCTTTTTGTACAATCAGGTAATAGCTGAAAGTCTCTCTGAGGAGGAGATTGCTGGTTTGAGAGAGATGTTTACAACTATGGATACTGATAACAGTGGTGCAATCACATTTGATGAACTCAAAGCTGGTCTGCGAAGATATGGCTCTACCTTGAAGGATACAGAGATACGGGACCTTATGGATGCAGTAAGTTTGTTTGGAAGCAGCTATCTATATATATGTTTCATTTTCTTTTTATCTTCTCTGTCTTCTTCCTGCTCATTTTGGAATATTCTGTTTATTTATTTTTGTTCTTCTTGCTTAATAATTCTTCTTACTGCTTCTTGCCTTTTGGTCTAAATGTCAGTTTATATGTGTTCATGAATTTGTGAGGGATGCAGCATTTTGTCCCATCTTGATATTCTTTTCTTAGTTATAGTAAGAAGGCAATTTTAACAGAGAAACACGGGATTAAAAGGTCAAGGTTGCAATGCCTTATGGAAATAGTGGTTGAGATATGGGGCCAATTGTAATGTGAATAATGCGTCTTTGTGAGCTATAAGTGGCCTCTTAAACCAATTGAAAAATAGCTTTGGCTCTGTGATTTGGAGCCCTGACTTCAGGGTCTCTCTATAACAGGGAATCTAGTTTAAACCAATTGGAGAATACCTATAATGCTTGCATCCATCGTTACGGATGCATTTTTTGAGGAACAAGGGCTTCCTTTCATCATAGATGGCTTGGGATAGAGGAAGTCTCTTATGATTGAGAATGCTTGTCTTTACTTGCGTTTATGGATGAAATTTTTGTCCTACAGTGATATTGAGTTACATGGTTACTGTGCTTTTTATGTTTCATATGTTACTTGCAACCCAATCATCTGTGCTATTTTATTTGTTGTCAGGCTGATGTTGACAATAGTGGGACCATTGATTATGGGGAATTTATTGCTGCTACAGTTCACCTTAATAAACTAGAGCGTGAGGAACATCTTGTTGCAGCATTCCAATACTTTGATAAGGATGGAAGTGGCTATATTACAGTTGATGAGCTTCAGCAAGCTTGTGCTGAGCATAACATGACAGATGTTTTGCTTGAGGATATAATCAGAGAAGTTGATCAAGATAATGTAAGTCATCTTACCTTGATGACTGGATGGTTACAATATTCTCAAGCTAACCAAATTATTTCTTTAATCTTTACAGTTATTTATTTATTTATATAGTTGACTGTAGTGCTGATAACAACAATGTAGAATATTAAAGTACCTCTTCACTGAGTTCTAAACTGGGTGAGGTAGAAAGGTTATTAGAAGGTTGTCTTCTGTCTAGGAATGCCGAGAGCAAGGGAAGGAGGGAGGAAAAATCTAGAAAGATTACTGGATGTGTTGGCTTTCATGTATGTACATTCTTTAGGAAATATATAAAATGTTATAGATGGGTCATTTTGTCAATGACTTGCGATCAATGATACCATGTTAATTGCATTAGACAAAGCAGTGGAGTTTGGGCAAGTGGGTCCAACTTGTACTGTTTTCTCAGTTAGAATAGGTCTTCTTTTTTCCTCCATTTGCTGATTCAGCTTCAATGTTGTGCACTTCTGCTGCTTCTGCTTTGTTCAGGATGGAAGAATCGATTATGGTGAATTTGTTGCCATGATGCAAAAAGGCAATGCAGGAATCGGTAGGCGAACCATGCGAAACAGTCTGAATATGAGCATGAGAGATGCACCAGGCGCTTAATAATTTCTGGCCATGCATATCATGTACAGGTAAATTTTTGAGCTGTCTATTTATATCCTCTATCCAGTTTCTAATATCTTCTAGCCAGTCCCGGGCTAGCTTCTTAGAAAAGCATCATATAATTTTGTTTTGGGATAGTTGAAGCACAAGCAAAATAAAGTGACTTGTAGTTTAGTCTGTTTAGATTAGATAAACTAAATTATATGGACAGTCCTACTCACTTCTAACCTGAAAATTGAAGTGGTCTGCAATGTTGTAAGTGTAAAGACTCTTAATACTGGTTGGTGAAGCTTCAAGGCTAGCTTCACCACTCATTCAAGTAGCTTAGAACAGTTGTGATACTTTAGAAGTTATGGTCAAGAATCAAGAACACATTAGAAACTTGATGATTTTGATGCACAATCCATGAACCTTCACTGATTGTGCATGTGATTTGTAGGGAACGATAACGAATTGAAAACCTCCAATGTTGTTGTATTGGTGTTGCATTATAGTTAAAGGAATGCTTAGATAGACTTCTGCAGCTGTGTTTTAAGATATGTCATACTGGCAAGTAGAATCCACAAATGAAATTTATCAGTTTCTCTCGAAAAAATCAGGTCCATGTCCTCCTTTCACAGGACCTTTTAACCTTCTGCCAATTATATGATACCTGCCTGTTCTCTCTATTCTTAATCCAGAATACTTACATTTGCTAATTGGCAGATTGTACAGCAAAGGCAGAAGAAGATGATCCGTGATAAAGCTTCAAGGAAACAGTTTTGGCTCCTCCTGTGCTCCAGTACTTTGTAGCTGCAGAATTGATTATGGACGGTTCTTTGTTTGAGCATTTACTCAGAAGCTATTGGTTTATAATTCTATATGACTAATCACAAGCTTTGTAAACTTCACGAGTGTGAATTGTTACAGTTATTCAAATTGCTAAGTTATTAGCGATGTCTTTAATTGAGGCTTTATGTTGATTTTTGAAGGAAAGGATTTGCAGATATTGTGCTTTAAAACTGGTTTTTTTTTTTTTTCCTTTCTTCTTCCTCTTCCTGCATGTGAACGCCTTTTTTGGGCTTGGCTGAGGAAATAGATAAGCCCATATGCATGGATAGAAGGTTAAATGGTGAAATAAAAGACAAAGTAAATGGAGAATATAGCAAGAGCATAGCTTAACTTGCATCTGTAGTAAAACCAGGATCGTTATTATAACATAGCAGATGCCAAAGATGGTGAAGCAGAAAAATGCCCTGCCAAAGTGAAAGTTAAACTGATGGATGATATGCCGTTCTTCAGCATGAGATGAATTCATCCCCCATAAGCCTTAAAAGGGGTTTCTCTGACACTGGGTCTATTTCCTTTGCAATTTGTTATTCAGTGTATCCTGAATATGAACTGATATTCTGTGGCAGTCAACTCAAAAATAAAAATATGGGTGAGATTTCTCTTTCTAGATGCAGGGATCAACTCTAAACCGGCGGACACCTCTAATCATCCAATAAATTTTGCCATGAGTTCATAGTTGAATCAGAAATTCATGAATTTATATATGTTCAACAAACAAGCAATGCTGAAGAATCAAGATATTGAACAGTTGAAGGTCATCATCCCAAAGGATAATCCGTTTTTCAACAGCCAGCAGATGCTGCATATGCATTAAGATTGTAGACAAAGCAAAATTTTACAATTTATCTATAGATATTCCTATTTTTGTGGTTTGATTTGACTTCAACCGCAAGTAATGTGCCACTAAACTTCCACTAAGATATAAATAATATAATCAATGCTGATTTAAATCATATGCTGCTATACATCCTCTGAAACAGTAGTTTCGCGTGCCACTGAGACTTCCTGCAAAAATAAACAGAGTATCGTCAATGAAAGCATGAAATGATTTCCATTTTCTAGAGAATGGCCATAAACCATTGGTTTTTCAGCTTACTTTACCAACAAAGATAAGCGAAAGCCAGTAAACAAGAATGCAAGTTGCAAAACCAGTAAAATGCTATATATAAAAAGATGTAAAAGAAAACTTGCCTTCAACTTCCCCTCACTTGAGAAGCTGCATCTTGATGTAATAGCACATCCCTGATCAAACAGCCACCCCACTTCACTGCAAGTTTCACCTCCACGTTCTTGTAGAGCACACCATAATTGCTTGGGAAGCAATACGAGATTGTTTTCATCTCTTATTGACTTCAGTGCCCCATTATCTTCGAGCTCTTCAAGAAAGATCTGGAGGTTTTAAAATAAGTTCACAATAAACAGTGATCAGACCATAGAACAACATTCTGTTCATCAAGATTATGCCTAATTGCCTGCTAATGGCCCAAGTGACACAGAGCTAAAAAAAGTTGGTGACATATTTTACTCTTAAGAAGGATTACATTACTAGGCATAGAGCAAGAAACTAGAGTAACAATGTCTAAGGAATTCTTCAAACATTCAATTTAGTATAAAATCTAACCATGCATGAATAGGAAAAAAAAGTTCAGAAGCTCAGCAATTAGTCTATAGTAGTGGATCTCGATTGGATCATCTACATTTCTGCTAAATAATAGTTCAAGTTGAAACTTAAGAGCATAAAAACCAGTGGTTTATATTTGAAGGTTTAAAGTGGGAGAATGCCAAGCAAACGAGCCAGAGGATTTAAGCCATCAAGAAAAAAGGCTTAGCAAATGAAGGAGTACACTCACATCACCAAAACCATCAAAAGTGGCGACAGCATTAGGCCCCTGCCATTCACCAACAACATCAGAAGCTTTTGTGGTAGCTGTTGAAGCAAATGCAGAATCACGGATAGCGCATCCACCAAGCTGGTCACCATTTCTAAATGGACCGTACCACTGTTCGCAGAAGACTCTAATATTTTGTAACACAAACTTTGTACCATCCACTCGGACAACCTGAATTATCCTCACACGAGACTCTTTATCCCGAGGATTGATCAAGCAATGCTCCAACTCCCACAGTTCATGCGTACCATTGTCTGCAACCGGCCAGATAGCAGTGTAACATCCACTAGCTTGATATGCAAAAGCAGAAACTTTGTTATCTACACCACCGATGTTCCTCTCATCCATGCTATAACGTGTTGCAGCATCTGCTTCACATCCAACAGTTGGAAGTAGTTTTATAGTTTTGTAAGTCATAACCTTCTTCCCTGGTTCAGCAAGTGTAGGGCACTGGGTCTGCCAATCATATACCTTAACCTCCCATTCCCTGTAAGCTTCAGGTACGACAGACTCAGGAAGTTCAATTGGACTCCCTTTAATTGAGAAGTCTGCTCCCAACCCATCCCATTCACCTGACACATTCCTTGCAAATTCTGACCAAGCTTGACAAGTAAAAGAAGACAACATCAGATATTACGGTTACAATTAGAATTTACAACACTAACATTACATTCGTTGTGTCTTTCAACTAATACCTAAAATAGTAACTCAACTTGTTCAAGAGCAATAGGGGCCAAAAAAAAGAAAGGTTTCTAAAGTGGGTTTTGTTTACACAGGATGTGGTCATTTATACTTCAAATTAAGCACAGAGAAGAATCAAAATTAGCATGAAGTATGAAGTAAACAAGTAAACCACAACTTACCATTAGCAGCAGCAGCTGTAGTGGGATTGGGGTTGTGAAGCTGAACATCAGAAACAGCAGTCTTGGCTAGGCAAGATGGGTTGAAAATTTTACCATTGCTGCATTGATAAACGTCATGAGGGCGTGGAAACGAATGAAGATAGACTTTAGAATGATGTTGATGATGATTTACTGCTATATTTCTATGCTTTGGCAAAGGGAAAGCCATGGAGTTAATGGTTCTGTTATGTGATATTACACTGCTTGCTGCTAGTACCATTTTCAATCTTTGACAATGCTTTTCTGCTGTCCCTTCTTTTCTCTTTATATTTCAAAAAACTTATCCTGGCTTTGGTCTCAGAGCATCAATGGTTTCCAAGGGGGAGAAGTTATAAGAAGCAACCGCCAAAGTGACAATGCAATTATTTGCTGCTGGGCTAAAGCTGGAAAATTTAGGCTGATGTTGTTTTCAGGTCAGTTTCGACAGCCATTTCTTCGCATTATGTTAGCCCAATAGTAAAGCAGCCCAACCATCGTTCCTTTCTAATTTTCTTGATTTTTATATTATATAATATATATTTGACATAATACCTAAAACAACCCTTAAATTATTTTGAAAATTTAAATAAATTTTTTTATAATATTTAATTAAATTTTTATACTTTTATTTTGTACCAAATAAGTAATTTTAATTAACGGTTGACTAAATGTCATTAATTAAAATATTTTTTATATCAGGTGATGTTGATATGTTATATGAAATTATGACGTGATATATTAATGTAACATAATATCATAACCATGTAATAGTTTTACATTACACATCAATATCAAGTAAGTATAAAATAATAATTAATTAATCGTTAATCATATATGTCTAATGTATTTAGTTAAAAAATAAAGAATACAAAGTTTGATTGAACGTAATACAATAATAAAAATTTATATAAAATTTTTTAAATAATTTAAATTTCTTTTAAAATATTGTACTTTTTTCATTAGAATGATAACTCATCAGATTTAACATCTCCAAATGTGATCCTCGCTCATATTTGCAAACAAAAATTTAAATTTAATAGTTGAGTTTTTTTGAAATAAAATAAATACCATCAAATTAAATGATTTTTAAAAATTTCTTATCATGTTGCATTATTATTAGTAAAATATTCTCTTTCATTTCTTTTTGGGCATATATTACTGTGAAAAATGGATAGAGATGTTGATGTTTGTGCTACATGAATTCTATAGTCGTAGCATGATTCATGCATTTGTTGCTCAAATTGTTGGGACGTCAAAGGCACTTCTTGTGCAATTTTCTACGAGGATGTGACCTAAAATTGCAGATTTTTATTTATTTTGCAATGCTTTTCCACTTGATTTGATAACTTAAAATTTCACACTTTCATTCCTTAGCGTAAGTAGCACACATATTAGCCAGATTAAACAAAAAAAAACAAGAAAAGAAAAAGAAAACACATGATTGTCCTTGATGCAGACATAGCCAATCTATATGGTCATACAGCCATTAGTAACTCCTTGGAAGCTCCTATTGTCACTGATCAACATTTTAGTTGTTTCTGTTCATCTGATCCAACTAAAAGCTGTTGTTCGTTGGCAAATTGGGGATGAACTAGAAGACACATGTAGCACATGCACAGCTTCATTACCACCAAAATATTTATGGACAGCAAGCACTTGACACTTTGGAGGAACAAAGGGACCAGCCCATGTCCTGCCAACCAAACCATAACAAGTATATATATTATTCCCTAACCCCAAATTTGCCTTCTTGCGGTGGTACACTCCCTCACAAAGTTGACATTTCACCACCACCCCCCCCCCAATCACCGACGGCAGATATTATCGCTCCACTCCCTAGTAAAAAAAATAGTATTTTGTCCATCCATCGCTCATATGAGGGCTCCATGTGACTATATAAGCTCTGGTCAAATCAGAATTACGATATATCTTTATATATACTTATATAAGAACAATGTTATGCACCGACAGTTTTTTCTGCATGATCGAGGTGATGCTAAGTGCTAACCCCACTTCGCAATCTTCTCTAGGAGGATACTTGGGACACTTTGCACTTTCAATGGCGCTTCAATCTAAGTAACTTGTAAGAAAACTGGCACCAGAAAGTCTTTTACTCTGTAGCAGTGGGGGCGAAGCTTTGGCTTGGTTTGGTCTGGTCTTGTGAATCATGGAAGCTTGCTGGCTTGGAGGATCGCAAAAGATCACATGGCTCACTGCCCAAGCTCATGTCATCATGCCATCTTTGCTGGCAATGATTGGAACTGCACTTTAGTCCCTGGCACCGACGTTTGTGGAGAAAGCGACCCAATATTTTTGTATAACTATATAAAATTACACTTCTTAATTAGTATATACTAATTACTAATACGAGCTAATTACCTCATATCTAAAGCTATCATCCCCTCAATTAAATATTATCAGAACTTTAACTACATGAAAGTACCACGAAAATACGGGAAAATCCAGTCTCTTGCAAAACCACTAGGTTTATGAATGTGAATGGAAATGATTTTTGATATATTTAATTACAATGGGGTTGCTCTTTTTAATTTCTTTTTTAATAGTGAGATTGGGAGGTCTTTGACCTTTTTAATTTCATTTTTAATATATTTTTTAAAAGAATACAACGGCATCTCTTGCGCCAAAAACTTTAATATTACAATACATAAATAAATATAAAACTTGTTAAAATAGAACCTGCAAAAATAAATAATGAAATACAAAAAAATAACAATAACAATTTGTTTTTGTAGCTAACAGATGGTGTCTAATACAGCGAATCCACCGTTGCGGCAACTTCCTTTTTGTTCAATGCATGGTACCCCCATGGCCATAAGGCCATTAACAATGTAGATTTGTAGATGTGGTTGGAGTGCCAGAGAAGAGCGCGATTAGTAGAGTATAAGGTGGATTCAGCTCAACCAACAAGTAGTTGAAGCTTTCCCTCTTCCCCTCTCCAAGCAACATCACATTAGATACTAACACAACATTAACAATATAATCACAGGCCATTTGTTTGTTTTCACGAATGAACATGCATCATAGTAAAAAAGAAATTAAAGCCGAAACCCAGAAAAGAAAAAGCAAGAGCCATACGAAAAGATAGAATTCTACAGTCTGTCTGATCTGAATCTTGAAGCTTATTAATTTCCCTCCAGAGTTTTCTTTCAACAGTACTTCTTCCATTCATGCATTCCAAAATCAACCGATGACACGTTCTCTCCCCAGTCTCAACCATAGATTTTCTCTCCATCATCAAAATTCTTGGAGTAATCTAAAGAATTGTACCTGTAAGTTTGCGGGAGGCCAACTTTGTCAGATCCCACCAGTTTTTTGACCTCAGACCTGACCTTGTAAAAAACATGTCTCCAGCTACCTTTGTTGTGGCAGCCTAGAATCCTAGTTTCTTCTTCGTTCATTTCAAGGTCTTTAGCAAACATGGGTTTTCTGGAGAGAACCCAAGACCAGCCCCAGTCCCACCATTTCCTGATGGAACTACCAGCATACTCTCCCATGGAAGACAAAGACTTTGATCTGTGAAATGCCCATGACGTCGCTGGCGAAGAGATAGGCTGTATATTGAGAGACAGAGAGGAAAGCCTTCTTCGTAGCCCTGGCAGCTGCTCTTTTGATTCGGTTTGGGAGACAGGGAGTGCATGGCTCTTTTGAAAGCTTTGAATAATGGAGCTCATGGTGGCTCTCTAACAAGAACAAGAAACGCCAAAACGAGTGAGAATGGTTGATAGGGTGGCGTTCTTGCTAAGAGAAGAAGGGTAGAGACAGAGAAGAAAAACAGGGAGATGGGCGAGGGAGAGAGAGAGAGGGGTGAAATGTAGTGTTCACAGCTCTATCACAGGCTGTTTTATTCTCTTTTTGAGCGAGGATAGATGATGAAGTGGGGTCCACGATGGTGTTCAACATTGAAGAGTAAATTTTTTTTTTAATCTTTCTATTTTGTTGTGGTGACTTAAGTTCTCAAATTAGGCGTTGATTAATCATTAGTCAAGGTAGATCCATTGTCTATTCATTTCCTATCATACATTAAAATAAAAAAGCAAAGGCAATAAAGTGTGGACATTGGACAATGCCAACGTAACGTTGCATATAAAAACTTTGTACTGCGACTGTGTTCCCATCTTGTTCATTCTTCAACTTCAATAATGGTATAAATTCATCACGACTTAGCCAAAAATAAATACTAGTAATTATGTCTAAAAGGGAAAGTAGGAGAGGCAGAACGTGTATATAAACACAACATAGGGAACGGCGATAAAGTAGATACAGGCAAGAAAGACGGTGGAAATGAAATGGGGGCCAGAAACTAACGGCATTTAGCGGCCAAAAAATGAGGTGGTCTGTGACGGTGGGGACCATGCAGGGGTGTCGGTTGCAAGGTCTTCATCTTCGTTTAATTACGACTCACGTAATTTTGAAAGCCCGTGGCAGTAGAACAAGAATGAAGCGATATATCTGAGAAATCACAACTATGTATGGCCATGGTATGACTGATTTGTGTATTCAAATTGCTCAACTCGATTGCATGGAGACTTGGTTTTGAAGTTAATTAGATAAAGAAGATTAGCTTTAGATTCAGAGAATTGGGAAATCGTAAAAAACCAATGAGTCAATGACTTTATACCTTAAAATTAATTGGTATTTGTTTTTGTTGTTCTATATGTTGCTCTTGAATTTTTTTTTAGTTAATGTTAAATAACATCTATATATCTATAATCGATATAATGTAATATATTTATATATGGATCGATATTAATAAAGTTTTTTATTGATGAAAATAAATGTATTTGTTTCTTATATTTAAAATTGTTGGTTTAAACTTTTTTCCTTATGAATATTAATAAGATTTATTTATTTTGTAAATAAAAACTCTAATCCTATTGAATGATTTTTATTAATTTTTTTAAAATTCTAATAGTGCTCAATAATTAATAAATTAATATTATAAAATTTAAATTGTTTGCACCTTGAATTTTATATTTTAAAAATATTTATACATTTATTATTTTTTACAAATAAAAATAAATATTCACATGCAAGGCTTGTGATAATGAACATTGGTATATATAAAAATATTGATGTTGGTAAAATTTGAGATTGAAGAGAATGGAGATAATATATATATAAAAGTACAAATTTTGGGTCGATTGCTTAAAATAGATTATACAGAGAAAATGGGGAAGTCTGCTAGAGTGGCTATTGAACTAAACCTTTGTAAACCTTTGATGCCAAAGATACTTAGCAATGGTAGAATACAGGTAGTTGAGCATGAGGGACTCCCACGTGTGTGTTTCACTTATGGAATTTATGGACATACTAAAGACGATTGTAGCAAAAATGTCACTACTGTTGTACTTGAAAATGGTAAAGAGAGTGGTGAGAATGTGGATGGGTTGCAAACAGAAAGTTCTCAATTTGGTCCCTGGATGATCATCTCCCACAAGAAAAATAGAGTTCCTAATATGAAAAATAACACACTGCAAAATTCCAACCGTGATATGGTTAGTAACACTGGTTCCCTTTTTGCTTCTTTTATTGGAGAGCATTCGGGTGAGGATGGAAAAAATACTCAAGTAGTAATGGGCGATTTTTGAGTCCAAATAGAAAGTCGAGATGAAACAACAAGCTAGTTAGATTTAACAAAAGTGATGAAAAGTTTAGTTTACTTACAAAGGATGTGGATGAGGTGGTTGGTTTGAAGTTAGAGGAGGCACCAAAACAGAGTGTGGAGGAGTTGTTGAGAGGTGAAAATGTTGTTGCAATGGAGGAGAAGGGTGATATCCCTATGGATGGTACAGATGATGGGATAATTAACATAAAGGTTTCTGCTAAGATAAATATATTGGCTGAGAGAGTTCTTACTCAAACGGTGACATTGGGCAACCCGAAACATTTACAGCATAAGTGGTAAAAGACGTTAATAATTCACTAAGTATTCCCATGAAGGCACGATCAGTGAAAATAGGGATGGATAGACATGGTGGTGTATTGAAACATGGCAGGGAGGATAAACCTCCAAATAAAAAAACGTAGTTAAAATTAATAGAAATTCCTTAAAAAAGAAGGTTAGAATGAAACCATCAACATTGATGGATCATATACCACCTGCTTCTCATTTGTTAGTTAAAGAAGACCTGCAAGTGAATCATAGTTCAAGTCAAGTGGTTTTAAACATGGGGAATCTCCTTAAGAATGTTGATGACGAGGATAACTTCACGTCAGTAGATGAAAGGAGGATCTCCTAGTAAGCCACTCTTTATTTAAGTATTTTTTGTTAATGGATTTCATATATTAGTTTGGGAATGTCAGGGGGCTAGCAGTGGTAACCTGGTACAAATCTTAAATGATCTTGGGAGACAATATAATGTTTCAGTGCTAGTTTTAATGGATCCCCACATCACTGGTATACAAGCGGATCGTGTGATCAATAAATTAAAGGTTGAAGCATCGGAACTGTCTAGTAGCATCTGGATATTTTGGGACGACGATATTCAAGCCAATGCGATAGGTAATCATAATTAATGCCTACGCATTTCAGTTAGGGTACCATCTGGATTTATTTGGTTTTTTCCAACTATTTATGGACATCCTAACGTTTTGTTAAGATGTAGACTGTGGACAAAATTATCTAAATTTGCAACTTCAGTAGATAAAGCGTGGCTGCTAGCTGGGGATTTTAATGCTTTTCTTTCACACATGAGAAGGCAAGAAGATCTTTGAAGGGTAGCAGGCCATGTACATTATTTCAGGAATTTGTTAATGACTACCAATTACTTGATCTTGGATTTCTGTTGGAAGATGATCATAGTTCTGGAAACTTAAGATGCAAACTTGGCAGGAAGAGTCAAGAGGATGAAGAAGGAAGAAGAAAAAGAGAGATGAGCAGCACGGTGATGTATCTTCACTTCAACAGCTAATACGCCAAGCTCAAATGTCGTTTCATTTAAGTTTGCTTACTGTTTATGCGATACGACTTTAGCCTGTGTCGTTTTCCCTTTACCTTGTTAAAACACTACTTAAGTGTGTCGTTTTGATGTTTTCTGGCTGTTACGTCAGGTGTTCTTTGTTCTGGTTGTAGCCGTTGCTTAGGCACTGAAACCAATACATGGATTTCAGTGCACAGCCAACCATTTGCCATTCTCTTTCTTCAATTCTTTCTTCGGTTGCTAATCTTACGCTCATTTCTTGTTAATTACAATGTATAAATGAAGTAGAATAGATGAAAAGTGTGAGCTCTTCAATTTGTTTTCCAGATTTTTCTTCCTTGTTCTTCCTACTAGTTTCACATGGAAGTGTGGCTTGGTATCGAAAAGATTAGACAGGGCGATTTGCAATACCTCTTGAAGATTACAATTTTTGGAAGCAATTGTACATCACTTACCAAGAGTTGGATCAGATCATAAGCCTTTACTGTTTAAGACCTATGGGAGAAAATCATTGAATGGGAATGTTGGGTTTCGCTTCCAAGCTGCATGGATTACATGTGATGATTTTGGCAATTTTGTACAATGCTCCTACGATAAGTCCTTGAGTATCGATAAAGCTCTTTCGAATTTTGCTGCTCTAGCTAATCAGTGGAAGAAGGTGATGCTTGGTAATATTTTTTGCAGAAAGAAAAGATTATTAGCTAGATTAAACAGTATTGAAAAAGCTCTCGACGTCCATTCGTCAGCATGGCTTAGAAAGCTAGAATGTAATCTACGGCTGCAATATGAAACTGTCCTACAACAGGAGGAAATTTACTATTGCAGAATCCAAGGTGGAATGGTTGAAATTGGGGGATCGTAACACTTGCTATTTCCATATTAGAATGACATGCTGTAGGAATAAAATGAAATCCTTAAATTGCGGTTGAATAATGGAGAATGGCGTGATGATCAGGAGACCTTACAAACTTTAGCAATAGTAAGATGCAATTTAATGAAATTCCATGGAGAATTGTGTTTGGAACTACTTGCTGGTCCTTGTGGAAATGGATGAATGCATTAGTGTTTGAAAGCAAAATGCTTGCTACAGTTGGTTGCTTGAATTTGATTATGAGGTTTGCCTTTGCTATTCATAAAGCCAAAATGGTTAATTGGGGAAACACTTCTTTTACTGCTATCAAACGTCAGGAAATTCATATAAGTGGGTCCTCTGCAACTGATAACTGGATTGTGTTAAATTCAGATGGAGCTTATAGAATGTCTTTGGGACAAGCTATTGCTGGTGGGGCCATGCGTAATGCCTCATATGGCTGGCTTGGTGGTTTTTCAATGCGATTAGGGGCTTGTACAGCATATAGAACTGAGCTTTGGGTAGTATGAAAAGGTTTACTGCTTGCATGGGAGCTGGGTTTTAAAAGAATCATTATATAAGTAGATAGTTTGCTAGTAGTTTGATTAATTACTTCTTTGGGTTCACACTCATGTCGAAATTCTGATCGGATCAATGCAATACGTAACTTGATAGAATGAGAATGAAAGGTCATTACAAAGCATATCAATAGAGAAGGTAATCACTCAACTAATTTTATGACGAACATAGATTTTTTTATCATAGGTATTTATTCTGCTTTTTATTTTCCTCTTACAGGCGCAAGCAATCTTAGGATGTATCGCATGTTGAGGATTTGTCTCTCTCGATTAATAACAGAATAAAGAGCTTATTCCAAAAAAAAGTACAAATGCTAATAAAACTTTTTTATTGATGAAAATAGGCACAAATTTATTTGTTGTATTTTTAAATGATCATTTTAAATATATGTATTGTAAATATTAATAAAATTTATTCAATCTGTAGATAAAAATTTTAATTATGTTAAATGACTTTTTTGTAAGGCTCTTTTAAGAATTTAAAATTTTTAACATTGTGATTATCAGTGCTTTGAGCTTGCTTTATTTACTTTTGTTTCAACAAAATTTAAATTATAAAAAAACATATTATTAATAAAAGTCCTTCAATATAATTAGAATTATTATTTACAAATTTAGTAAATTTTATTAAATTTATAATAAAATTATTTAAAATAATAATTTAAAATTTTAATGAATAAATATGTGTCTATTTTCATCAATAAAAAAGTCTCATCAACATTTGTGCTTATATATATATTATAGATTAGTTGAGATGATAAAATACATTCATTTTACATCGCTAAAATTATTACTTGATGCATATCCTCAAATTTGGAATGATTTTGGAAAAAATGAATTATGACATGATTTTGAAAGACATTGTCACATTGATAATATTATTATTTGTATTTTAAATATAATATACTTAACTGGTATCTTATAAAAAATAAATAAATAACAAAATATAGATATATAAAACCTTAAATAAGCTGACATGGAAATCCACTTCTGTTTTGGCCCAAAGAAGCCCAGCTATTGATCACTAGGAAAAGAGTGGCCTCATTTATCTCGTGAATATCAATCACTGGCCTACAATCTCCGAAGCCTAATCAACAGTAAGTTCGAATCGGTCCATTTTCTTTACTCTCTTCTTTTTTTCTTCAAATTTTCTTATTTTCTCTACGAAGAAAAAGTGGAGGCAATAGTAGTATAGCAGGGCACTGAGATCTGCTAGCAGCCGCTTCGAAAATGGAGTATCGCAAAATCAAAGATGAGGTATAACTTTCTTTATCGTTTCTGTTCGCTCTAATCCTCGCAACTCTCTTCATTATCACATTCGCACGCTAAATGAAATCCATCGTCACTTGTATTTTTAAGTTGATTTTGGTTAGGAATTCTGATTTAGGCAACGGCATTAGCGTCTTATTTTGCTTTCATTCGTTCTATACTCTTTAATTTATTCATTTATTTGATTCTGTGAATCTGATGGCTATTTTCTTCTTAAATTCCTTAAAATTTTGATGTAATTGTCATTTGTTTTTATGTAATGGAGAAAAGGACAGTGAATTATAAGTATTCAGATTAAGTGAATTTAGTTTAAGAATGTGATTAACTCTTTATTTCGTAAATTGAAGAAATGCTATCTACGTACGGAGCTGTAATGTTGTTCACATTCATTGAAATTGTCTTTTTAAGGATTTGGATCCGATCTTGTCATCTGTGTTTGAATGAATGGTGATTTGTAGGATAATGATGGAGGAACAGTAAGTGATGACATTGAGAATCTGCGAGGCAAAGGGTTTTCGGGTGGTAGGTTTTGGTTAAAGATTATATTTGAATGTCATACAATTTCCATTGCACAATATAATCCTGATTTTGTTTTCTCATTTCTGTTATAATTGCGGTTGATATGCAGCTTCTGTAAGTAATGTGCCTGTAAGGGAACAGTCCAAGTGGAAACGCAAGTAAGAAAGCTTTTACAATCTGATTTTATAGTACAATTAGTTTCAAATAAGAAAAAAATAAACAGAAAAGATACATTTTCATGTTTTTTTTTGTTCTTTTTTTTTTCTCTTGAGTAGGACAGTTGTTACACTTGCATTGACTTTTCTTACAAGTTCACAAGCAATACTTATTGTCTGGTCGAAGAGGGCTGGGAAGTACGAGTATAGCGTTACAACAGCAAACTTTTTGGTGAGTGGAATGGTTGTCCAGTGTTTGACTTGACATGATGCCCACTGGATTGACCTTCTATTTTTTGGGAAATAGGTGGAGACTTTGAAATGTGCATTATCACTTGCCGCCTTGGCAAGAATATGGAAAACTGAAGGTGTTACAGAAGATAACAGGTAAATTTTACTTGTGATCACTTAACTACATCTTTTTGTTAATAATGGAAATGATTAACATGTTTTCTACTTCTATCTATCATTGAACCAGGTTGAGTACAACCCTTGATGAAGTTATTGTTTATCCCATTCCTGCTGCACTTTATCTTGTAAAGAATTTGCTACAGGTGAATTCTGATTGTTGTTTGTTTTGTGAGTAAATATTTTTGTCTTATTTTCAGAATGTAATTTTATGTGCTTTTCAAATTTATGTTGCAGTATTACATCTTTGCCTACGTTGATGCTCCGGGTTATCAGATACTGAAGAACCTGAATATTATCAGTACTGGTGTTTTGTATCGTATTATCCTTAAGAAAAAGTAAGCTCCTTAATCCATGCATGTTGGGTGTTTTCCAATTATTGGAACAATTTGCAAAAACCCGTTGAAAAGAATTGATGGATGACTTCTGCTGACCATTCAGAATAGCATAGGATGGCAATGGAAATCCACAGTTATGCTAAGTTTATGAAGAAAAATCTAATATACATTCTAGTGGAAGATACACCAAAATAAACATGAATTTTCAACTTTTCTGATTTAACCTGTTTTACTTTAATTGATATTCTGGTTTCAGATTAAGTGAGATTCAATGGGCAGCTTTCATTCTTCTATGTGCTGGCTGTACCACAGCGCAACTAAACTCTCGGTAAGAGTGATTAAACCCTTTGAATTGTTCCATTGATTGGATGGGTCCACAGTTCATCTCTGAGCTTATGCTTGTTACTTTGATGCAACCTTATTGACCTTCGAGATTGTCTTGGTGCTGTTATACATGTTTTAAGTGATGGATGTGTCTATTGTAATCTGTGATAAATGTTTGAAGACAGATAATGATTGAAGAATTTCAACTTGTATGTTTTATATGGTTATAAGTAGAGAATTTGAAATGGAAATCAATATCTCAATCACTAGCCATTTATGATCAGCAAGGATGAGGGCATTCCGAGGGATGGATTTGAGAGTTTATGCTCAGTGGGGGCAAACTAAAAGATATATAGTATCGAATATATAAAAAGCACAAATACTAATTAAGACAAGTATCACAAAGATTGTTTTGTTTTCTATGTAAAGATAACATCTTAAAATTATATTCTATTGTTTTTTATAGCTTGGTAGCATTGTAAAATCTTTTCATTGTATATGTATATATAACCAAACAATCATTCATATTAGAATTCCTTATTTAATTGTACAAATGGTTCTTCACAATGTTCGTAGCAGAAAAAGTTTTTTCACCCACTAATACCAAAACTAATTATACAAGTAAACCAATAGGTACATAGTATGTTTATTTATCTCAACATGTTTTATTGGGAGATCATTAATACTTTTTCAAGCTTTTAAACTCATTGTGAGACCTCAAACAACAATTTAAGGGGTTTTTTTTTTCTTTTTTGTGTACACACACACACACATATCATATAATATACAAATAAATCATATAAGTACTTTTCTTGTGTTCATGTAATATTACATATCCATTGTTTCTACTTTTTCTTTTTTGCAACTTCAAAATTGGTAATGTTTTCAATAAATGAAAACATTCAGAGTTATCTCCTTACATATACTAAATTATTTTATCAATAAAAAAAAATTCTAAATAATACTAAACAAATACTCTAGTACAAATTATCAACATAATGTAAAATGAAAAGAGTAATTACTCACTTCAATATGTTGAAGCTTTGGAAGAAGGAAGTGGTCCATTTCCTTTATCTCGTTTGATTTTCTAAATCACTTGTTCTTCTCCATCTCTTTTTGGGTCTTTTATTTGTTGTATTTTAATAGATTGGGAAAGGAACGTAACTTGTGGGGTAAAAAACAATTTTACCTTTTAAATAACTTAACTTTTTTGTTTTTATTCAAAGCTCAATAGGTGGTTGGTCCCATATCAATGAAAAATCCATTTTATAGTTCTTGTTTTATGTTATTTACTAATTATACTTAATTATTTTGCAAAGTAGTTGCTTTTTATTGCAATTATACCTTTTTCTTTAATATTTCAAAAGATCTCATATATATTTTGTTTCTTTCAACTTCAGTTGTGAAAAAAGTGAAAGAACTAAAATTTTGTAACACTTTTATAGTGTACCTAAGGGGACTTAGGATCTCAGTTGGGGCAGCTGCCCCCCACTGCACCAATGTAGATCCACCCCTGCATGCTGTTTTCAGTTTGAAATATTTAATATTTATGTGAAATTTATCGTTTGGCTATGCCTTAGTAAATGGCATTATTTTTTGCAGTTCTGATCATGTACTTCAAACACCTCTGCAAGGTTGGATAATGGCCATTGTAAGTTGACAACAAGTTTTTGAGGCTTTTAGTCCAATGAATGAGAAAAGCGAAATTGATTTATCGCTTCAGAGTCAAAAAATTTGTTATCATTGGGATCTTTATATCCTTTGCAGGTAATGGCTCTTTTGAGTGGATTTGCAGGAGTGTACACTGAGGTGAACTTTTTGAGATACTTCTTGCACTTCTTTTTTATCTGCAACTTGTATTTAGAAGATTATTTCGTGTTCAGATGTTTAGTGAATGTTGCCTGATCTGATTCTGGTTGAATTTATTTGGTTTACAATTCTTTTCGAACAATGAGAATGTCTTGATTCAATTTAAACCATACAGAGCTTCTGCTGAGTGCAACTAGCAAAATTCTTGACTGTGTCAAAGAAATTCATGTTGGTAATTTACTTTTACTGATGGCAGGCTATAATTAAGAAGCGTCCATCAAGGAATATAAATGTGCAGAACTTCTGGTTGTATATCTTCGGAATGGCCTTCAATGCTGTAGCAATACTAATCCAAGATTTTGATGCTGTCGTGAACAAGTAAATTAAGCCTTTTAATCTGTTGCTGGCACCTATTTTAGAAGTAGTGTTATTGACTCTATGCTTCATGCATGTGTGTGTATGTGACTCATTACTTGTAGATGCAGCTATGTCTTAGAAAATGAAGAATCCTCTGTTTAGCAGTTTAAGTCGAGTTCTATTTTAATGACTTCATACCTAGATAGTTCAATTATTTATATTTGGAAATATGCTTTGTTTGTTCAGGGGTTTCTTCCATGGATACTCAGTAATTACCACTCTCATGATCCTTAACCATGCACTCAGGTATTTACACTCTTCTTTCTGGCTTGATCAAGTTTGCCAGCAGCTAGTTTGCTGACTCCATTAATTGTTTTGAAATAGGCATTGTATTAAAGAAGATCTTGAAATTTTTTCTGATAGTTATGTGGAATTAAAGTTTGTTTGTTATTGGAGAATATTATGAAATGTTGAAAAAAATGTCAGACATTTTATAACAGTCAGAATAGCATTTTTAAAGTGCAATGAGCTATACAACTACTATTCAAGGGATACTTGGCCTTTTGCTTCCTTACCTGCTCCCTTCAATAGTTTAAGAAATTGAATAACCATTGATGTGAAGTTTGACAAATGTATTCTGCAGTTCAGTTGGCACTGCTGTAGCTGTACTACAGCCAGAACTAACAAGAATCTTTGATGTCTGCCTAAATATATCTTCTTTTTGCAGTTAGAGTCTAGATCTGTGATGATCGTTTTTCTTTTCCTGGTGAAGTACTGTTTAAGATTGGACCTGTTAACTTGCCTGTTGTGCTTTCATGAAATATGCTTACGTATTTGTTCTATTTGCAGTGGCATTGCTGTATCAATGGTAATGAAATATGCAGACAATATTGTGAAGGTAAGACAGAAAATGCATTTTTACATTTAGTTAAACATTGATTTGTCTGCTTTTACTTGCACCTCTCTGATTTGTTAGGATCTTGCGGATTAAGCATGTCATAGTTGTTTGTACATAGAAATGTTCATGCATTTGCATGGACTTGGTCAACAGTGAAGGAAATTGCTGGATCTTTCTCAAGATGATTGGATTACTTGTTTATTACATTATATGTAACTGCCAGTTTTCTTTATGCTGGAACCTGTTAACAAGGTGCTTTATCTAAAATGAGCAAGAGCTTCTTTTTCTGTCTCTGTCGATAATACTATTTACAGATCCCAAAAAAGTGGTTTGAGGTTTAATAAAAATTTAAGAATCTTAAATAGCTGAATATTTGAAGCGTGCTCAGGAGAAATCGAAGCAAGGGATGAGTTTGTGGCTTCATAATGAGATACGCTAAGCATCCAATAAATCATTTATCCACGCTGCAAATTAAAAATATTTATGAAAATGATTTTTTTTTAGCAACAAAATTATCAGTCTATTTTGGGAAAGCAAAAAAAGGGCTCTAACCGTTCAAGGAATGTGTCTGTGATGCATAATGCATGGTACCCATTTTGAATCTTTTAATTTTAGTTCCAATGATTATTTAGCTTCCCAATGTTGTGCAGGTGTATTCTACTTCGGTGGCAATGCTTCTCACAGCGGTTGTCTCTGTGTTTCTGTTTGGCTTTCAACTTACCCTTGCTTTCTTCCTTGGTGCTACGTAAGTTATCTCTGGCCAAATTTTAATATCCATACGGTTAATAGAGTCTTTTATGCTCTGCAAACTTCAATTATGGCATCTGTCATAATCCACAACGATGCTGCCTGGTAGAAGGTCCTGCACATAGACCATGTTTCTCATGCATGTAGGGAGTAAATCATTTCATCAGATCAAAACGCATAGCAATTATATTTATTTCTTTTAATTCTCTTGTTATTGCAGTGTTGTGTCAGTCTCGGTATACTTACACTCTGCAGGGAAGCTGCAAAGATAGTGAGTTTCCTGTGCTACTTTGCCCTGATATTGTAAAGTCCTCTGTACTGAGGTTTTTGTTTTCAATTTACATTTGTTGCCCCTTTCCTCTATTATAGTATAATCTTTTGTTTTTTAATTTGCCAATGTCAAAGAATTAAGTTAAGGTGAAATTAGTCGTACATAAGATATGACTCTGTTTTACTTAGTTCAATATTGTTAAGCTGGGTAAGTTACCAGTTTCCAATTCTTTGTTTTACTTTTTTCAGCAGTTAAATAGGTAGTTGAAGTGGTTAAGAATAGATTACAACTTCAATTTGTAAAATCACTGACATATTTAGTAATATGAGCTGACTAATTTCTTTATGCTTCCTGTCTTTTGCAAAATGTGTATTATTGAGTTATCCAGTGGAAATCCAACGCTGATAATTGTGGTGTTCAGAGGAATGGGTGCTTGTGAGACCTTTAATTTGGAAGCCAAAGATATAAAGCAAGCAATACCGGTCAGAATATATAGAGCAGGGAATCAAATTAAGCAAAAAAAAAGAAAAAAGAAGAAGAAGAAGCCTGCCATCTATATATAACGACTTTCTTAAGTTAATACACCGCTAAGTAATATGCTCTTAAACACAATTAAGTTGCACGTTTTCTGTCTATAATCAGGAGTAGGTTCTTTAGCAGTTTTATCATTGGTCAAGAAACAATTAGAAGAGGGCAATATTCATGAAGCTGCAACAACTCATTAATTAAAAACCATGGCTGATTAGCATCTAAATATTTGGGTCAGTGATGTTGGGCGCATGATATTTCTTTTTTGCGAATTTTATTTTTGAAAGTAAAAAAAATTTTAGAGCTCATGAACTTGTAAATACAGAAACTGGTATGATTACCATCTTTGACAGGTTAACATAAGCCTGGGCGACAATCAAAACACTAAAAGGTAGTTTAATTCCTACTCTCTTCAATGCCCAAACGTGAATGTAAGTTGTCTGGTGCAAAGATCGCTATCGTAAAGATTCTTACACATTCCTGGAGATAGTACAACGAACACATAATCTAATATCTGGCCAAGCTAAGCTGAAAATGCTACATGTACCCGAGTGACCATGCAAAGCCTGGGGCTGTATCCTCATCGTAAGGGCTGGAATTATGCGAATTTCCTAGCCCTCCAAATCAAGCTTGCTCCCGTCAAGTAATCAATTTGAGAACGTGATACAGGGCATCATTTTGTCTCTGTAATGAAATTAAAATATCTGCTCGAATTGGCATGGAGAGTGGGTCTTGTTAGTCTGTACACGCAATAATGATTCTTTGTAAGACTCTTGTCATGGAAGCACTGTACCGATTATTTTTAATCAAAACATGTAGGATCCAATCTTTGACGAAACCTAAACCTGATGAGCATGCTTGGGACAAAATTAAAGCCTGTCAAGAGAACCAATCGTAAAGACTCCGTATTCTAGAAACATTTTCTCCAACTTGACTTGAAAGCAACATATTAAGCTGAAGCTATAAATAGCCACCTCAATTCCCTCCTCAATCCACTCATCGCTTCTTCTCAACATCTCAGAGTTACAAACAAAAGAAAAATGCCTCTCTCCTTGCTTTCCAAATTCTCCATTCGGGCATTCATTGCATCCTTTTTCATATTTTCTGCTCTGGCTCATGATTTCTCCATTGTGGGTTATTCACCAGAGCATCTGACTTCCACGGATAAACTTATTGAGCTCTTTGAATCATGGATATCGAAGCATGGGAAAATTTATGATTCCATTGAAGAGAAGCTACTAAGGTTTGAGGTTTTCAAGGATAACTTGAAGCACATTGACAAGAGGAATAAGGAAATCAGCAGCTATTGGCTTGGGTTGAATGAGTTCGCTGACTTGAGCCATGAAGAGTTTAAGAACAAGTATTTAGGACTCAAATCGGAGGTTCTCAGGAAGAACCAATCACCTGAAGACTTCACTTACACAGATGTGGCTAACTTGCCAAAGTCTGTTGATTGGAGAAAGAAAGGAGCTGTTGCCCCAGTCAAGAATCAAGGTTCTTGCGGTAAGCATCCTCGCCCTCTGGATACATTCCTGGTCTTCTTGGGATCAATGCAAAGCAATTTGTATGACAACATTGGTAAACATGAATGCAGGTAGCTGCTGGGCATTTTCAACGGTAGCAGCTGTTGAGGGCATAAACAAGATAGTAACAGGAAACTTAACTTCCTTGTCTGAGCAAGAGCTGATTGACTGCGATACATCTTTCAACAATGGCTGCAATGGAGGTCTGATGGATTATGCATTTGAGTTCATAGTCGCCAATGGTGGACTTCACAAAGAGGAAGACTACCCGTACCTCATGGAGGAAGGCACCTGTGAAAAAACGAAGGCAGATACAACATTCATAACATTTCACGAAAGTTACATTGTTATGTAAGCAATGGTTTATTTGATTAACCATGTTTTTTGTTCTCTTCAGGAGGAAACGCAGGTCGTGACAATCAGTGGTTACCACGATGTACCAGAAAATGATGAGCAAAGCCTCTTGAAAGCTCTGGCCAAACAACCTCTCAGTGTAGCCATTGAGGCTTCCGGAAGAGATTTCCAATTCTACAGTGGGGTAAGCTTGTTAGCTTTGCATTATCTGTAATCATTTCATTCAGCTTACAAGTTTTCTCGCACTCTTGATTTACGCAATGCTTGGGGGTGTTGTTACAGGGTGTATTCAACGGGCCATGTGGAACTGAACTGGATCACGGAGTAGCAGCAGTTGGCTATGGAACCTCAAAAGAGTCAGATTACATCATCGTGAAGAACTCCTGGGGACCGAAATGGGGAGAAAAAGGGTACATAAGGATGAAGAGAAACACAGGAAAACCTGAAGGGCTCTGTGGCATCAACAAAATGGCTTCATATCCTACCAAGAAGTGAAGAAGTGACGTGAAAGATGCGGGTTTCGCTTGTCAAGAAAAACTTTGTTTTCTTCGTTAAAGCTTTTTTCCATAGTTCCTTGTGTTGACACAATTTGCTGGCCTACTGTTGCCATGTTCCTTCGTTAATAAAAATGGCTAACAATTTCGCTTGAAAAACTTGCTATGATCTCTTAATTAAGAACGCAAACTCGTGTATGCCAGATTGGCAGATTCCTACCCATTTCGAGAAATAACCTTGGAATCAACAGTACATGGAAATATTTGCAGGCATGCACGCCATTCTCCTGTCTTAAATTGAACCCATTAATCCGAACAATCTTTTCTTCTTTTGTCACACCGGGAACGAGACCAACCCACCGAATGGGCTTGGGGTCTGGGTTCACCATAAGAAGAGGATAGTTAAAAAAAAAAAAACGAAGAACCTCTTTCCTCAACTGGATTATAGACTATACTTCAAAATGACAATATTTGCTTCTTACACGAATTGCTTGGAGCCTACATTCCAAGCCGGATTGAGAACTGCCCAGGCCCTAACCCCCTAACTCCGCAACCAGACTAATGGTGTGGAGCCGCTGATCCACATACAACGGACTCCATTGGCACACGGTATCTATCCTTCAATTTTGAGTTTAGCTACAAGTGGATGTGGTGGTCGCTAAACGTCCATAGAAGAACATTGAAGGAATTTGCTCACCTTTTAAGGGAAATCTTGGCATTTTGTGGATATATATTTATGTATTTTTTCTTTTACCTTGAAGAGTTAAATCATTATAACAGTAGATTCTATTTACTAAGTTAATTATAGGCTTTAATTCTTAAAAAAAATTACTCAAATATAACATTTTCACATGTAATTAACATTACACTAATTTAATCTAACAGAGTCAGGAGGTGGCCAGGCCAAAAGCCTCTGGATTAATATTTTTCTACTAATAATTCATATTGAGAAATATTGAGAATCCAAGTTTACATGCGTTCAAGAAAAATTCAAGCGCATGCAAATAGTTTTCAGATTTCATTATTAAGTTTGTAGGCCCTACGACCTAACCCTATTATATGTATTGAATAATTAAGAAATTGGATTTAGAAGTGCAAGCAAAGAATAAGATTATCAACCCAAAACTTCATTGTATTTGAAGACACAATCGTACAGCCGTCCTCCAAGAAACTGGGCAACTTCTGAATGTTTCACCTGTGAGAAATGGCAAAAGAAGATAATCTTCAATGGAAACTCTACAAAATAAAACCAAGTCTTCACAAACTGAGCATCAGGAGGTGATACAATTACCATTCCAATCTTGAGTGAATCGCACTTAAACTGAGCATAAAGATTAGTCTCTATTCCACGACCCTGCGCATGTACACACACAAAAGCAATTAACGTATGAATACCAATACCATACAAAGAAACCCAATATCTTAGTTGCATACGGCCTATCAACAAGGATACAACCTAAGCATAGAACAAACAACTGCACTTGTATAGAATAATGATGACCAAACCTAAACCAAAAACAGCAACCTTTTTGACCTATTCAACCAGTACACGATAAAAGATTTTTATCACTGAGCATGTTAATCACTGACTCAATCTATAAACAACAAAGTATAATCAACCAACAGTTGACCTATTTAGACTATAAGCAATACGATTTGAATAGCCGGGGTTCAAGTTTGGCTCATCACGTTCTTAAAGTCATAAACATTTAACAGAAACCAACGACGTAAAATTCCCAACCAGAAATCTGTTGGTCATAACTTCACTAAAGTCATGGACTATAAGAAACCTACCATGCCTTCCAAAATAACTAAGTCTGCATCACTGGCCAGGTAGGCAAGCTCTTGTGATACTCTTGTAAGATCAATAACCTGCAAAAACAGAAGAGGCTCTTACTTCAATAACCAACATACACATTGTTTATTGAGTTGGGATGCATTAGGCATACGGCACAACTATATCTTACCGGCAAATCATTACCAGAATTGGCAATCAAAAGATTTGAGGTATCAACACCAACAAGCTTGCCATTTTCATCCTTCAACTGGTAAATTAGCAATTAATATATCCGAGTCAATCCCCAAAAAAAAAAAAAACAAAATGATCATAATTCTAAAAGGTTTTTGTCTCCATCACCTTTGATATGATCTCAACCAGCTCAGGATAAGTTACATCATTGATGGAAGGCAAGTCATTAGCTGCCAACACAACCTGTACAAAGAAGAAAAAATGTCAAACATAATTCTAGTTGATTTTTCTAATGAATATCTAGCATTAGATAAGATGATATTTTGTGATCTTGAAACAGGCTTAAGATTGGTCATCAACAAGAAACAGGGAAATGAATTTTTAAGGACTACCAAATGACACAATAAAGTGAAATCTGTAAGTAATTTGACTTTGTAATTAACAAGAAACCAAACACTGCTAGAAAACAATACTGACTAACTCAGAATTGTATTATTTGGCCTTGATAGTTTAATCTAGTATAATCATTCTTTTGTGCAGATACATAGCACTATTAAAGTAAATACAAGCTCTATGACACTCTGCAAATATATCACTGAGACAGACATTAAGATTGTTGAAACCATTAAAATACATATGACAAATTTTGAAACTTCGTTTCTTCTTTATTGTTTTACAGAATTCAAAAGTCAAAAGTCAAGAAACTTAAAAAACACACACATATTTCTGAACATACAACATATATATATATCATCAAAAACATACACAAAAAAAAATTTTGGGCTTTTGAATGCAAACCTGGGTCCCACGTCGGAGCAATTCTCTTGCAAATGGCAAAATACCCAAGATTACATCTGCACCAGAGTTATCAATAAAAATGACTGCCTGCCATTGCAAACAAAAAAGAAAATTAGTTAGGAGATGACACATGTATAACAGCATCAACTTCTTTCAATTTTACTATTTTGAAAAGTGAGTATTGAAAAGAGAAAAGATGTCATGCTAAATTCATTGTGTATGGACTTGCCTTTTTCCAAGATTTCTTGCCCCATTTTGCTTTAAAATTGTCCAAGTCATCAATGACCCAAGGTCGAGGAACAAGATTCTGACAACTAGCCAAAAAGGACATTCCATCCCTTGAGAAAACCTCAGCAAGCTTCAAAAAGGAAGTGAAAACGTAAGTACCACTGCAAAATTTATCCCTATTATGATATACTTCTAAATCAAAATGAGTATCAATACCACAAAATCTTCCCAACCAGAATGCATTAGACATGTTATAGCGTAGGCTGGACACATGGGAAGATTTTCATTTATCAATGATAGTCATCCATGGGCAAAGATGATCATGGCAACAATAAAGAAAGACCCTGATTGATGATCCAAGTAGAAAATGTTACAAAGATAAATTGCTTTTCGGAGCACAAGAAATACATGACAATTTATATTTTAACAAATAACATAGAGAGCTAAAAGATTATCAAAATCATGTTGCCTATCTCAGATAGTTGGAATTCAATGCCTAATGGAGATCACTGCTAAACATGGTAAGTTGTAACTAAACTGACAAATATGATATGCCACTAATGGTGAGTGTCAATACGTTTTGACAATAATGATAAGCTCAATAGCACATAATGATTGAACTACCTGAACAGAACCAAGATCAAATATGTTTCCAGCAAGTATTCCTCTAACCAGGTTCTCCAGATGCTTCCCTCCATCTTCAATATTATCATTAAGACGAACTACTTCCGGAAATAGGGAGATAGCCTTTGCATTCTCTTCATCCTATTGCAAATTTTCCAAAGAAGAAGAACAATGCTGTTAATAAAACAGGAAAAGCATAAAACACAGGCAACTATATTAACATCTGACTCCGCTACCCCTCCATTTCCTTCTTTTCTCATATTGCAAGTTCAACAATAGAAATAGTAGATGATTCTCAGATTTATAACAAGTACATGCACATGATCCTCCAACCACCCACAATGTTGATTTTGGTTGTTATTCCTTGAAAATATACCAGCTTACTAAAAAGGAAATTAAATTACCAGTATCGTCTGTCCACGATGATATAAAATTCAATCATCCAAGTTAGATAATTATAAATTGACATTCTGACTGCTTGCATGTAAAACTACAGTTTTTAGCAATAAAACAAGTTGTATACTTACTTTGACTTTCTTGAATATATCTCTAAATCCCAACTCTCTAAGAACTTGTTCACGAAGTCTGCAGAGAAGCTACAAGACCCAAAAATACCATGAGGACTGCACACATATCTTCAAGAAAAACCAGTCTGAAATCCATAAAGTAATATAGACTAGTTTCAAGAAATCTGACTTACTATACAATCAGGTGGCCCGCCATGGCTTTCAGGATCTTTCTTCAAGTCGTCAAGTATCTCCCCATACCTTCACAAAATTAAGCAAAAACACACATATGAGAAGAAACACTGACAATTGCAGATGCTTATCAGCAACCAATTAGACATGTTTTATAGAGAGGGAAGGAGCATTTAAGTTTTCCTCAAGAAAAATGTTCACAGATAAATTCATATGTATTTTTGCAACGACAGGATCATTTATAAAGCAATAGAAAGTATAAAGAAAGCACAAGAAATTTAGGGGGTAGAAAAGCCAATACCTTTGAGCAAATTTCTCAGCTTTAGTTGGAGCATCAGCCACAGTAGGATCGCTCTCAGCTCGTTTCCTGCAACAGATTGAAGTAATGAGCAAACCTCTCCGGAAAACAAGGGTACTAAAGCAAATTCTTTTAATAAAAAAAATGCAAAATTTTATGCTTTTAGTTCATCATGGCAACAAAGGAATCTAATTGACAATAAAAAACCGTAAAATCCATCAAATAATCGCATTCAACTAAAGAAAGCAATCAGCAGAGCAGATGAACTTAATCAGAGAAACTCGAATTACCCCTTTTTTTTCAGGAAAAAAAAAAAAGAAAGGAAACAAGAAAGAAAAGAAAAGGGGTACTTGAAGGAGGGAATGGAATTGCGGAAGAGGTCGATCCAGGCAATTTCGGTAGGGGTAGGCTTTCGAGGATTATCGGATGGGAATCTGTAGGGGATGGTACATGCCCTGTAGTTGGATTCGATCGGCGTCGTCAGCAATGGAAATGCCACCATCTCTGAATCGCTCTCCATCTTGCCTTCGCCTTTCTTTCTTTTGTGGGCGCAGAATGGGAAAGACAATGGAGGGAAACACAAAGAAGAAAAACCCACCGCCCGAAAGATATATACCCTTACTACTACACTATTATGCACGTTTTGGGTGTTTTTTGTATTTTTTTTTCTCTTCCTGCAAGTACAAGTGAAAAACCAACAAGAAATTTAAACCTCCTCCTCCTCTTCTTCTTCCTCTTCTTCTTCTTCTTCTTCTTGTCGTTTTAGGCACATTTAGATTGTGGTGTTTCTCAAAGTCAACCGTTTCTTCCTCGATTTGGAAAATGGCAATCAAACCAATGTCTTTTTTCTTTTATACAGTGGTATTATTTCCTTTTTGAATTGGAACATGGCAAAACTAGTGAAACATGTTACACGGTTTATTCACTTATTTCATTCGGTATAGTCAAGTGAAGCAAATACTATAAGTTTAAGATTTTTAAAAATAATCTAATTAAAGATTTGAGTTTGTTTATTTAAGTTTTTTACCTTAGTTAACATCAACTCAATTGGTTAAGTTTCCTAAAAGTTACATAGGCTTAGGCAGTAGGCTTTGCATGGAATATTTTGGAAGCTTGTGTGGCAGCTCAAGATAGTTTTTGTTTAACAACTGACTACATGTTGAGCACTCCTTGATGAAACATGTAACCCATGCATGCTTGGATGTGATGTTTTGCTTTGTAGACACGTCTATGGTTAGGTGACGAAAGCTTTGTTACTTTGCAGTTTCAAATTTAAGTTCAAGTACTTGTATCAGATAGCCTTTACTGTAGGAAGTTTACCAGTTGAACTCTCTCTGTTTTTTCTTCCTTCTTCTTCCTTGTCTGTTTTCTTCTGTGTTCTTTAATGGTATGCATGTTATTGAAATCTGTTGAAATGGTATCAGAGCTCCCATTCTGTTCTTGAGGGACTTGAATAGCCTTTAAAACCACCAACAAAACTTCAAAACAAGCTCTGAATTTACCCAGAAAACCTCACAAATACATGGCATCTAGCAGCCTCACGCATCAGGCACCACCAATCTTCGATGGTGATAATTATCTCATTTGGTTCGTAAAAATGAAAGCATGCAAAGGGCTTTCGGTCTTTGGGATGTGGTGGAGACTGGTGGAGAGCCACCTGCCTTGCCAGCCGACGCCACCATTGCGCAAATTAATCAGCACGACGAGGGAGTGGCTAAACCCTACAAAGCACTGTCCTACATACATTCAGCAGTGACAGACGCTATATTTACTAGAATAATGACTTGTGAGACTGCTAAAGATGCATGGGACAAGCTGAAGGAGGAGTTCCAGCGGTCGGAAAGGACAAGGCAAATGCAAATCCTTAATCTAATGAGGGAGTTCGAAGTCTTAAAGATGAAGGACAATGAGCCTGTCATGGAATACATTGACTAACTCATGCTAATTGTTAATCAGGTGAGACTACTGGATGGAGATATGCCAGAAAAAAGACTGATAGAAAAAGTATTCGTCAGTATTCCGGAGAGATTCGAGTCCATTATTTCTTTCTTGGAGTCGTCTAAGGACCTTTCTAAGCTCACTCTCACAGAGGTGGTTGATGCTCTCCAAGCCTCAGAGCATAGAAGAGCCATGAGGCTTGATGAAACCACTGAAAATGCCCTCCACGCAAAAGAGAAGGAAAAGAAACGAGGTCAGTTTGGTAAAGCTGAAAACAGGAAAAGCAAGTAATCAGTCATGTCCCCACTGCAAGAAAAGAAACCATGCAGAATCTAATTGCTGGGTCAGGCCTAATGTTAAGTGCAGATCCTGCAACCAATTTGGCCATGTAGAAATAGTTTGCAAGAATAAACTCAATCCTTAAAATAAGGCTGCTCAAGTTTCAGAGAAAGCAGAGGCTCGATGATCTGAGATTTAAGCTTGGAGTCTTCAAAGCAAATTTTAAGGAGTATTGAACTTAAAATTTGCATGGAGTTCTTTTGGAAGCTTGTGTCATGTGTGGTAGCTTAAGATATTAGTTTTTGTTTAAGAACGGACTGCATGCGGAGCAGTCTTTGATGAAACAAGTAACCTGTGCATGCTTGGATTGATATTTTGCTTTGTACACGTTTATGGTTAGGTGATGAAAGCTCTGTAACTTTGCATTTTCAAAATTAAGTACTTGTATCAGATAGCATTTAATGTAAGAAGTTTATCAGTTCAAGCTCTCTGTTTTTTCTTCCTTCTTCCTTATCTTTTTTCTTCTGTGTGCTTTAATGGCAGTATTTCCTGCCAATGCATGTTGTTGAAATCTGTTTACAAGCTATAAGAACCACTAAAATTTGTAGACTAACAAAACCATCCAGGGATAGCCAGCACAAACACACAAGTATACAAACTGCATAAATATTGCTGATTTAATTGCAGGGTTACTTGAAAGATCAAAATTCTGCTTTGTGCTAAGCACATGGTGGTGGGATTTGGGTGCCAATGTATTTAGCCCTGACATTTTTACAAGTGGAAGTCGCTTGTTTCTCCCCTGATGCCAGGTCCAAGTGAACATCTTCAAGGTAAATATCCTGGCATGGGATCCCTTTGCTACATTCTAGTGTTACCGCCACTGCAGATGATGATGTTCCCTTTATTTTCTTGAAATATATGTCACTCAGTTTCACTTGAGATGTTCCCTGCACTCAAACATTTGTGGCATTTTTTTTGGTCAGTATCTTTCTGGATAACTATAGCAGTAATTAGATATTGTCATCTGGACTTACCATTGGGGTGCAAGATGCAAATGGACAGTATGCCTGATCGATTATAATCGGATTGGTCACATTGTTCATGTGAATGTTTTCGAATGTCATATTCGTGGCAGCACTTCTGTCTGGAGAGTTAGCCCATGTCTTGATCCTAATCCCATTCGTGGTCCCTGTAATTGTGCAGTCTCTAACCACTAAGCCACTTACATCACCTTCTTTCCTATATCTTCCCAGACTTCCAACGCTATAACAGGCAATTGCCAGAATAAGTTTTTTTTAAAAAAAAAAAATTTAGGAGCTCAAAGTAGAGAATAAAGGATACACTTGTGAAGGATAAGAGGAATAGGGTACAGCAGCAGGTAAAGAGGAAGTTAAAAGAGTACCTGATGCCATGACCTGGCCCGCAGCTGATGCTTGTGATGGTGACCTCAGAATTTCCTTGTCCAATAGAGATGCAGTCATCACCTGTACCTATAAGTGATCGTGAAAAGTGTACACTAGAACTTCTTTCGATATGGATCCCATCTGTGTTAGGGCTATCTGCTGGGGCTGAAATCTTGATTTTAGTGCCCTTGAAGTTCTTGCATTCGACAAGAGCCATATGAAAGAACTTGCTATTTACTGAAGTTATGCTTCTTACAACCGTCCTATTCGTCCCCACAAATTTTACATTCTGCAACAGAAAAGACAGTTTTTCCTCATTAGATCTGATCTTTATTCTTGGCTGCAACCTAATATGACATGTAAAAGCACTAAAAGGGCTTCATACAGGGCGCATAAAGGCAAACTTCCCAATCCCACGTTTAAGCCCGGGGCCTAACTAGAAGCGTTTGGGAGCAATGCAAGACGTAAAACTATGGACAATTTACAAATACAGCTGATGAGAGCCAAAGGAATAACGTGTTCAAGGATAAAGGTTGAGGAACGTACAGTTGGAAGAAGTTTGCAGTTGAAGTTAGTGGGGCACCTATTGTAAGGCCATGCTTTGGCACCCTGCCCATCAAAAGTCCCTCCTCCAGTCAAAATTAGCCCCTCCACCCATTTGAATTCAACCCAACCAGCACTATATCCATATTTAGACAAGTTTGTTGTTGCCTTCAGATAACCCTGAAAGTTTCTTCCTCAATCATGGTTAAAATTATGTGGGGAAATGCAGATGGGATAGAAGAAAATAAGCCAGGAAGGTATGCAGAAGTTACCTTCACACGAACTGTTATTTTAGACACATTTGTGCAGGGGCCTGCAAATTTGACGGGGCCAAGCAAGTATGTCCCTTTTGGAATCACAAGGTCTACCTCACCTGCAGCCTGACATGCTTTCTTCCATGCTGCTCTGAAGGCCTGGCAACTTGAAATTAGCAAGTTAACGAAACTTTATTTTGGCAACAATAAGTAAATAACATAAACATATGATGGAACTTTCATGATTCAAACTATGCAGCTATTATTACTGTTTGCCTAGTAATTCAATGGAGACAGAAAGAGTAGGAAACAAACTTTGCTGTCATCAGTCAGTCCGTCCGCTCGAGCACCAAAGCTCTTGACATTGAATAAATGAGAGCTCCTTCCCTTGTAATGTGATAACCCAAGCCCTCTTCCATGTTGTTCAAAGCCTTCCATTCCTAAATCTGCCCTTCTTGCTCCACTTTCCCCAGCAAAAACAACATTGAAACAAAACAATGAAAACACCAAGAGCAACTTGGTGTTAATGTCAAGGCTCATGTTCCTACAATGTGTTATATCTCCTTTCTGTTCAACCTCACACTTATTGTGACAGTATTCTCTTTCTCGCAGACTTGAGATAGAGTACTGCGATCAGCAAAAGAAAACAGTGCCACACCCATACCCGTACCCGCCCAACTGGGGATGGTTTGAATTTTCAACAAAGGGCGGGCTTCTGGAGTAACCATAACTGCCGTTAACTCCCTCCCACTACTCCTTAACTTGGTTATTAACCGTCTAGTTCAAAGAGAGGTTATAGTAGTCAAAAGAGATGACTGGTTTTCCTTCCATCAATATTCTAGCTCTCCTCATCCTTTAGCAAATCTCTGCTAGTTTACTATACTGGACCCAAAAAAAAACCATTAAAAATCTTTAGCAAATACATTTTTGGGACTAATACAAAGTGCAGGTTCAATATCTCTTAAGATCATTCCATTAAACTTTTTATATACCATATTTGGTAAAAATAAATAAGCTTAAAAAAAATTGACACCTGCTACCTTCCATTTCGTTCAAATGCATTCATTTACAGACTGTGAACTTGTTTTAGTGATTTTGTTTGTTGGGATTTTAATTGGTAGTATTTACCTCATAGCTAATTGTATTAAAGTGATGGGCATGCACCGGTTTTTGATGAATGCTAATGGTCAATGATATTTAATGCATTTACAGTATGTAATTTCTATATACCATCTAGTTACCAAATCATGTCATTTCATTAATGAAGTATTATTTTGAAAAGAATAATATCTATATACGTTTCGACATCAAATTTTAATATTATGTTTTTCAAAATAATATCTCATTAATGAGACATTAAAATTTGATAGTATAATAATATGTAAAAACTATATAGTGTCAATACATCAAATATTTTCTAAAAATGAATCATGGAAACGTGAAGGCTATTAGATCACGACAAGACCAAAAGCTTTTTCAGCTAGCCCCGGCGAGTGGGAGGACAATGAATTGAATGCAAGTAGGTTTAATTAGTTTCTTTAGAGTCCCAATCAATTAAATAAAGGATAGACAACAGCATCCTTTCCAGTTTCAACTCTCAAGTGAAAGCAACTAATCTCATTGGAAATGCCCAAAAATAGAAAAAGGCCTGTTGGTTCCAATTATTGTATCCATAGCTTCATTTCACAAACCAAGAGCTTTCCCTTGGGCAAAGCAAGGATTTGACATATTGCCTTTGAAAGCAAGAACCCATGTAAAGTCTCAACCATGCTAAATTGCTTATCATAAGTATCATCAATGAATAAATGTTAAAAAGGATGGTAACCTGTTTAATTTGTTTGGTTAATCCCCAACACCCTTTTCTTCTTTTCTTCATTGAAATGTAATCATACACTGGACACCATCAATAGGTTGTGCTGAAAGCAAACCTACAAGTATATGATCAACGCATCTAGAATGAACAAAAATTCTAAAATAGCAAACTGGCTATAGCAAATTTGAGAAAAGACACCACTCAAATAATCCCTGCATTTGTTTTCTTCGCCTTCTTTATATAGAACATCATTTCTTTGCCTTTGCGAACCTGAGGCATCTATATTTTTCGCCACTTACAGTGATTTCTAGTGCTCCATCTTGGTTATCTTGATTCGATGCTGTTCCCATTAGGACACTTTTCTCTTTTTCAAGGTTTTCTTTTTCCATCTTCAGCCTTGCCTCTTGTCGTGCAATCTCTGCCTGGAAGATCAAAAGAAAATTCCAGAAAACCACAACATAGTCGAGTAACAGCAAAAGTACACACTTAGGCAAGTAATATGGCGTGCTTCAGATATATCCTGCTATTATGCTAACTCAATCACAATGCTCTAAGTCATTTATGTGCATACTTAACATATAGAAGAGAAACTAACACCACTGGATACATGTACAGATAGTTAGACCATGACGAGTTAGGATTTAGAAATCCCTTTACTGTGCCAAAAACATGAACTAATCAAATTCAATTCATATAAGAACAATCACTTCGATTTGAGTTGTAATGAAATAAATGCATGTCAAAAACCTAAGCAAAGGACAAAAGGTTCCAAGACATTCAACAAATATAGCAGACAATGAAGTACAACAAGACTAACAACAATAATTTCAGTGAGGAATTTAGCAATCAGAAGCAGGCACTGGTATAGGAGGAAATGGTTCAAGAAGTGAGGCAAGCAATCTAACAGCCGTAAGCCAGGAGGAACTCATGCATTTCTTATCATCATTAGTGAGGACTATTACCATTACTTCAAAGGTATATATGGAGATTCCTATACTCAAAAAAGAACTTCATCATCCAAAGATACCAGAAATTTACTAACATAAGGTAAGACTTTGAGCAAGTTAGCCACTCATAAAGAACTAACGCATAATAATCATAAAGATTTATCATTTGTCTATATATGAGAAACTGCAGCTCCAACCCAAAAAGAAAGGAAAGCAACCAATTCAAGATTTATCTCAAAAACGTTCAACCATCAAAGACTGTCTTCAATATCAATACAAACAACTTGCAAGGCAGCAGCGTAAGCAGGAAGCAGCTAACTTTGGTGCCAATTAACAATGAAATTCTCAAATCCATTATCAACTAAAAGGTTAAATTTCACACTTTTAATAAGCAGAGAAGAGACAAGTGAAAAAAGCGGACCTCGCGACGAGAGAGCTCCGCCTTCCAGGCGGCTTCACGCTCGGCGACTTCGCGCTCGCGTTCCTCGATGTAACTTTGCATCTCTCTCTCCTTCATTATTCTGTCTTGTATGTCGGCTTCCAACGCCTCTTTCAGCTCTTCCACGAACTTATCCACCACCGCCTTTATTCTCAGCGACATCTCTTTCTACTCTTCCTCCTTCCTCAACTCCCACTCAACCCTTTTTCTATTCTCTTCTCTTTTCCCACTACCGAACCAGAACTATTAGTTACTGCCAAACTCCTTCAGTGGAGTGGATCGAACATCGGAGAAGAGCCGCTTGGCCCCGTTTTTTCAGCGGATACAGTCCATTTTTGTTGTAAAGAATGAATCGAGCGAGCCCCCAGTACAGGAAACAAGAGTAAGGAAGAACGCAAGGTATTTCACCGTATCAAGGCAAACTATCGATAAATCGCCGACAAAGAATTTTCCTTTGCTCTCTTTCAATCAAATAAAGAAAGAATTTTTTTCAATTAAATATACTGTAATATGCGTGAACAGGGAGAGCAACTGTTTCCAAACCTTTTGTTTCATTTATGGACCAGGCCCACCTTGGCTTCTCGTCTCATCCTAGCCCACCATTGATTCCTTTAAAACGCTGCGTTCTCCTTCTATCGCTTTCATCCTTCGCATTTTGCAAGAAGGAACATGGCGAGCACCGAAGAATTTCCACTTCTAATACTATTAACTGTCGAAATTCTTAAAAATGGATATTAAAATCTGGCAAAACGAAAGACATGAAAGCCGTTTCAGGAAAGCTAAAATACCTAAGAACTTTACCTTCTTCAGTATCGCGGTTTCATTCTCTTACTCCTCTTGCCTCCCATGCTCAACCCAAAAACTCGTCATCATCAACTCTGCTAGGTGAATTCGTAAACTTCTGTTACCAAAGGGACCTTCCCAGGGCTATGAAAGCCATGGCTGTCATGGAAAGGCACGGAGTTTATGCCGATTCTCTCACCTACTCTGAGTTGATTAAGTGCTGCTTAGCTCGCAACGCTGTTGAGCAAGGCAAACTCGTTCACAAGCACGTTTTCTCAAATGGGCATCAACCAAAAACGTTTCTTGTTAACATTCTCATCAATATGTATGTAAAGTTCAGCTTATTAGAACAAGCGCGGGCTTTGTTTGACCAAATGCCTGAGAGAAATGTTGTTTCTTGGACGACTATGATATCTGCCTATGCTAATGCCAAGTTAAGTGTCAGGGCCTTGGAGTTTCTTGTTTTAATGCTTAGAGAAGGCGTATTGCCTAATATGTATACTTTTTCTTCGGTTTTGAGAGCATGTGATGGGCTAGTCAATCTTAGGCAGCTTCATTGTGGCATAATTAAGGTGGGGTTAGAATCTGATGTTTTTGTTAGGAGTGCTCTTATTGATGTTTATTCAAAATTGGATAAGTTAAAAGATGCAGTTTGCGTTTTTAATGAAATGGAAACTAGGGACTATGTTGTTTGGAATTCAATTATTGGAGGGTTGGCGCAGAATAGTGATGGTGATGAAGCTTTGAATCAGTTTAAGATGATGAAAAGAGCTGGCTTTTCAGCTGATCAATCGACGTTAACAAGTGTTTTAAGAGCTTGTACTGGGTTAGCTCTGCTAGAGGTAGGGAGGCAAGTCCATGTACATGTGTTAAAGTTTAATGTAGATTTGATACTTAACAATGCACTTTTGGATATGTATTGTAAGTGTGGCAGTTTGGAGGATGCTAAGTCTGTTTTCGAGCGGATGGTAGATAGAGATGTGATTTCATGGAGTACTATGATAGCAGGGTTAGCTCAAAATGGGTACAGCCGAGAGGCATTAAAGTTCTTCGATTTAATGAAAGCTTCAGGTGTGAAACCAAATTATATTACTATCCTTGGGGTTCTGTTTGCTTGCAGCCATGCCGGACTTGTGGATGATGGGTGGTATTATTTTCAATCAATGAAGAGACTTTATGGTATTGATCCGGGAAGGGAACACTATGGTTGCATTATTGATCTTCTTGGAAGGGCTGGCAAGCTTGATGAGGCAGTCAAGTTGATTCACGAAATGAAATGTGAACCAGATGCGGTGACATGGAGAACTTTGCTTGGTGCATGCAGGGTTCACCGTAATGTGGATCTAGCTATATATGCTGCTAAACAAGTTCTAAAACTAGATCCTGAAGATTCAGGGACATATGTACTGTTGTCCAATATTTATGCAAATTCTCAGAGATGGGAGGATGTCTCTGAAATCAGGAGGGCAATGAGACACAGGGGCATCGCAAAGGAGCCAGGCTGCAGTTGGATTGAAGTGAACAAGCAAATTCATGCTTTTATTTTAGGGGATACGGCGCATCCAAAAATCAATGAAATCAACAGGGGGCTAAATCAGTTAATTCACAAATTAATGGGAATAGGCTATGTTCCAGAGACAGATTTTGTCCTGCAAGATCTTGAGGGGGAACAGAGAGACGACTCACTTCGCTATCACAGTGAGAAGCTGGCAATTGTATTTGGTTTGATGAGTTTGTCAACAGGAAGTGCTATTAGGATCAGGAAAAACCTTAGGATCTGTGGAGACTGTCATAACTTCGCAAAGCTTGTAGCAAAGATGGAGTGTCGACTAATCGTCATCAGAGATCCTATTCGTTACCATCATTTTCAGAATGGAGTATGCTCCTGTGGTGACTATTGGTAGCAAATGATGATGTGGTTCACTGATCCTTGCTAGTCAATTTTATAGAGTAATGAGATTGAATTTCATTCAAATTACAAATGAGGCAACAAGTTCCTTTGAAGCAAGACTCTTGGTCCAACTGTAAGACAGCTTTAGCGCATGTATACAGGCTTTCGAAAATAAAAACTGAAAAAAAGATGAGTGGGGAGACGAAGAGCATCCAAAAGAATGAAATATATAGCTTGGCACTCTGTGACTTTGACGCATAAAGTAGTAGCATTCTTTATTATTTGTGGTCTGACGCTTATTAAGAGGTCAATAAATTGATAGTAATGATCATTGCTGATAATACTTTCGATCTTAAATAGCCATCGAGCTCAAGGACGGAAAACTGTAAGAAGGTGATTATGATCAAACACCAGATGCTCTCCTAGGATAATCATTGAACTATCCATCAAATGAGTCAACCACCAAGCAAAGCTGACACATCAAGTCAGGCACGTTCAAATACTACATCATCCAGGAAGTTACATGATGAACCAGCTATCTTCAGCATAAATTAGGGGTTTGATACATTATTAGGAGATACCAAAACGTTCACTCCTCATATGGTACAACGAGGCAGAGAGAAACTATCCCTTGAGCATGGTGATATACTTTGCTGGTCCCTTACAACTCGTCTCTTGAAACTGCATCTCTTCCAGGTGGGATATATGATGTATAAGCTTTAATTATAGACTCATACACATCAATTCCTCGCAAGTACTCAGCTTGGTTTAGAAACTGCAATAAGATAGAAAACACAACACTCAGATCACATGCTGATAGTTGCTAGCAACCTAATATGCTATGCGTACAGCCCAAAATGTGTTCATCAAGTTCATTAGTTGTTTTAGTGTCAGATTTTAAAGCTACTTGGCATTGCATGGTTATAAATTTTGTTAAGGCAAAACAGAACAACAAAGGTTAAAAGACAATAATCTAGCAAAGAACAAGGGAAGTTTGCTGGGCAGTAATTGGTCAGTAACTGCTTGAAATTTTCAAATGGAACCAGAACAGGAAAAAGCAACACAATGACAAGCCTTTATATCAAGGACAATCCTCCACCAGTCAGAATAACAAATGGCAGCAATGATAGGCTATCTATTGTCATTTACACTTAGGGTACTAAGGAAAATGACTTAAGAGGGCAACCATCTCTATTGATTGGCTCTGCACGGAGCCGCACACCAATAAAAAAAGCAGAAGAAAAGAATGAAACCTGGTCTTTAAGATTCCAATGATACAAATCCAGTTGATTTATGAACTGCTGCTGTGGTCAAAAAACCTCAGCAGTGAATGACAACTGAAGGGGGCTCAAGGTTCTTCATCATCCACATACATTAACATAGGAGATCACCTTGGTCTAACTCATTCAGAAATTGGAATTCTTTTCATACTATTCATATTAGGAAAAGGTTAAAATTATACGCTTGCAGTTCACTTCCCATTAGATACTGCTTGCAGCAGAATTCAAAAATCAACATGACTAGATATTGTCTTATAAATACTCAATGAAAAATCCCTTGTGGTTAACAGTACTTTGGTTCAAGCTATTTGCAACTGTACCATGTGCATCATATAAAAAAGCATCATCCTGCAAATTATCCATCATAAACCCCTCTAATCCCCCCAAAATATATTGGAGGAAAAAACATGCATCAGATTCTTGGGTAGGAAGAACCATGGTCAACATAGGACCATAATGATACAAGATGTACCTCATTATGGTCATGAAGCAGAATAGGAGTGTTAGCCATAGGTGAAAAGCCAATAGCTGGCAGGCCCAGTTGCCGAAAATAGCGAGCATCCGTTGAGGCAGGAAATATCTCAGGCTTCCCGATCTTTCCATTAGCTTTCTTGATAGCTTCTTCCAACAGAGTCCACCATGGATTAGACTTGTCAATTGCAGTTTGTAGTGGTCTTCCCAGATTATCATGCAGAGTTCCCCTTTGCTTAAACTGCCAAAAAAACAATCAGTCCACGAGGAAATGGAAAGCTACTTAGATTTATGAATAGAATTTGTGG